GCAAGTGAGAACCTACCCTCAGAATGGCAAGGGAGTGCCCACCCCCAGAATTTCTGTTTCTGCCTCCTCCTAATGTGGGGTTCCAGAAGCATGTTACCATGCCTGGTTTCATCTGTGGTGCTGTGTGTCTGAATTCTTGTCATCATGCTTGTGTGGCAAGTGAGCAGTTTCCTAGGACCCACTGTAACTTTTTGGATAGGTTTTAAAGTATTTCATATGTATTTATTTTTATCTTATTTTTGAGATTATAGTACAATTACAATTACATCATTTCTCCTTTCCTTTTCCGTCTTCCAAACCTTCCCATATACCCCTCCTTCCTGTCTTTCAAACCCATGGCCTCTGTTTTCATTAGGTGTTGTCACATCTATATCCCTAAATCTAATTTGCTCAGTCTGTTGGATATGTGTTTTCAGGGCTGACCGTCTGGTATTAGAGAACTGATTGGTGTGGGCTCCCCTGGGGAAGATTATTTCTTCTGCTTTGAGCTTTCCTCAGTTGCCTGTAGTCCTTTGTGTGGGGTTGAGGCCTCATGGGCTTTTCTCCATGCCCATTGGTGTTCTCCCTGTTCAGCTCATAATGGTGCAGTCATTTTGATGAGACTTTATGGGTGCAGCTTCTAACATTCCTAGGAGACACTCTCACCAGCAAAATCCCTGTTCCTCTGGCTCTTACATTCTTTCTGCCCACCTCTTCAGCAGTGTTCCCTGAGCCTTAGGTGCACGAGTTGTTTTGAAGATGTATTCATTTGGACTGGGCTCCACAACTCATTTTGATTGGTTGTAGTTTTATGTAATGTTCTCTGTATTTTGCAAAGAGAAAATTTAAATGTTTTAGGAGCCTAGTATGCACAAAGTCCTGGGTTCTATCCCCAGCGTTATGGGGAAAAAGTATTAGGGGAACTTAAAGAACCTAAGGTAGACCAGATGTTCCATAGTGTAGGAAAATAAACAAATCAACAGCTCAAACTGTTTTGCCGTTCCTCTCCCCCACTCCAGCAAAACCCATGGACCCTGCTGCCAGGTGGAGTCAGAACCTTAGGCACATCTGCCTTACAACTATGTGCCTCTACTGCCACCTTGAGCATAAAACTCACCGGCTTCTTTCTTCTCTGTTCAGGTGTCCCACAGGGGCAGGAGCTGCAGTCTGCTGTTTGCTGCCAGGGGAAGCCGAGAACAGAGCCCATGGCTTCCACTTTGGGAAGTTTACATGCAGTATTGGAAGGTGTTGAAAAGATTCTAGGGCTTTTTAGCCAGGTCCCCACCCCAAGCCACAGCTGTTGAGGATTGAAACAGGGGCCTGCACGTTAACTGTGCTTTTTGTTTTTGACAAATCCATCCTAATTCTCTATTTGCTTTTGGCATAGGATCTCTTGAGCCCAGGCTGGCCTTGAGTTCTATATGCCTTGAGCTCTTGGTCCTCCTTCCTCAGCCTCCAGAGTGCTAGGATCACCACCACGCCTGGCTTCTATCAGCTCTAATGGACAGTTGACTTTATTAACACTGTCCTCTATGCCCTGTGCTGCTGTATCTTTGACTTAATTTGGAGTTATACTTCTTGTTTTTCTTTTAGTGATTATGTAATATGCCCCTAGGAATTAGGGTCTGTTTTCAAAAAATGTCTTTTTTCAGTTACATCTCTGTACAGGAAATACCATACTGGAGTGAAAATAGTCTGTCCTAAAATCAGTGGTGCCAGGAAAAAGACTATCTCCCTGTCTGGGAATTGGAGCCCACAGCTAAATCTAAATGTGCATACTTTCTGTTTTTTTGCTTCATCTTTTCTATAAATTGTAACACTGCTATATGGGCAAAGCAGAGGCAGATGGAGAAATTCTGTCTCCCCAGTTTTGGCTAAATTAATCTCTCTCTTTTCTTCTCAACTAGCATCTTTGACTTACAAAAATCTGTTAATCCCCGACCCTTGACAATGTAGAGATTAAGATATGTTAAAGCTATCTCCTTCCCGGCTTCTGTGTCAGAGTCATAAAGTGTTAAGTCTCAAACCCGGACAAAGGACTGAAAAGCCTGTCTAACATACCAAAGTGGACCAGGTTCTCCGAGCATCCTTCAGTTCCTTACAGAGTCTTCCTGGCTGGCACACCTAGCCCCTACCCTAAATCTCTCCATATTCTGGGCTGCCCTTCCCCCAGCTGCCCTTCCCTATAGAGTCAACCGTTTTGAGTCTACTCTCTTGGCCAGTCTCTTGGCCCAGGCTGCCACTGTTGTTTGGCGTCTGCTCTCCTCTCTCCCCTCCCCCTCTCCCCACATGGCTCAAATAGGACATGCTTACTCTGGGATCTCCCAAATGTCCCTGCCTCTGGCTATGTCTCCCTTTTATCTACAGTAAACTTTCTCCTCCAACATACCTAGGACCAGTCAGGCCCTTTCCTCTTTTCTTTTTTTCATTCATCTGGTGCCAAAACCGGAGACCAGTCATATCCATCCCCCTTTTCATTTTTTCATTCATAAGGTATTTTAATTGTATGTATATTTAAAATTCAAACAAGATATTGATATTTATGTGTATAGATGTAGTCATCTACTTTCCTATTTTCTCTTCACAGTTCTAGTTAGTTTTAAAACATTTATTTTGTATGTATGTATGTGTTTGGGTATGTGAATGCCACAGTACATGTCGGAGGACAACTTTCAGGAGTGAGCTCTTTCCTTTCATCACGTGAGCTCCAGGGATTGAACTCAGGTTGTTAGCTTGAGAGCAAGCACCTTTACCTGCTCAGCCATCTTGCTGGCCCCTAGCTAGTTTAGTTTCGGTTGTATGTCAGACATTATACCAACAAACTGTCCTGAAGAAACTACTCGAAGCCTAAGGTGATGTGCCTTTCCTTCATAGAGGAATGGAATTCAATTCTAGGAGGCACCCAAGACACAGGCAGCCTGGGGTCATCGGAAGCAGATGGCAGGGCTGGAGCAATGTGAATAGAGCACCGGGTTACTTGTGTTTCAACCCCACCCTTCGGCAACCTTTTCTGGAAGAGGCAAGTGCCCCTGGAGGAGGAGTCTTCCACGGCTCCTCTCTCCCCTCCTTGCACGTGTGTGTTTGTGTGCATGCAGAGGCCAGAGCTTGCCATCAGGAGTCTTCGCCGATCAATTTTCACCTTACTTTTTAAGACTGGGTCTCTCAGTGAATGTGGAGCTCACCAATTATGCTAGACTGTCTGGCCAGTGTGCCCAGGCATCCTCCGCTTCCTAGCTTCCCAGTCCTGGCATTATAGTCCTGTGTTGTGCTGCTGTGTCTGGCTTGTCACATGGGTGCTGGGGACCTGGCTTGAGGTCTTCATGCCTGTGTAGACTCAGAAACAGCTCTCTAGCCGCGAAGCATATTTGCTTTATGTTTTGACTAGATCCTTTTCAAATTAGGGCTTGCCATTAGATTTTGTTAAATGATTATTTGGGGCAGCTGCAAAAATCGCAGTTGGTGGATTGTGCTTTGCTGTGTTCTGTAACTGAGATGTGTTATATTAAGGAAAGCACACGGATAGTGCCTTGTCACTATCACATCTATTTAGAGAGCGCACGTCCATGGCACTCAAGAATGTTCTAGGAGAAGTTCTGTGAAAACTGTTAATTGGTGGAGAACCTGCCTTGTGCAGCCTCTGCTTTTCTGCCTCCTGCCTCAGTTTACCACCTCACAGTCAGATTCCACTTGTAAAGTCTCAGCAGGATGTTTCTTTTGAATTCCCCTCCAGTAGCTCATCAGAATTGAGCCAGATGCTCTGGCAGTGAGGAGGGTCCAAGCTTCATGATGGCACCCCCCCCCCTAGTCTTCCCAGCCTAGTTCCCTGTCAGTCCGGCCCCTCTCTGTGGCCATATGCAATTAAGGCAGAGTTTCACACAATAGGTGGCAGAGTGGCCATACTTCAGTGAGGTCTTGTGACTCTCCCGGAACCTTCATGAGTAGGTATAAATAGTGAGCAAGCCCAGCTAATGGGATTCTTTTCCAAGAGTAGCTCAACTCCCCAAGATGGTGGCTGCTTGGTTAGGATTGTCACTCGTGTGTGTGTGTGTGTGTGTGTGTGTGCGCGCGCACGTGTATACATATGTGTGAAGGCTGAAGGTCAGCCTCATGTTCTTCAGTATGTTTGCTTTTGCTTTTGAGATAGGGTCTCTCAGTGAGGCCTGAGGCACTCCACTTCAGCTAGGTTGGGAGGCCAGCCGTGCCACCATTCCTGGCTTTTTCCATTGGCGCTGGGGATCAAACCCTGGTTCTCGTGCCTGTTGGCAGGTACTTACTGACCAGCAGAGTCCCCCGCCCCCAATCATGCCTACACTCTTCTTATAGTGAGAACTCTGAGTAAAGCATTGGCTAGTAATCACTTGTATCCATGTTTGCTATTGTGAATCTTCAGGTGAGCATGTAAAGTGCACTTGGGCTTGGCTCCTCTCTGGGTGTATGCAACACAGGCAAATGTGGGGCTCTGCACCTACCCTCTTGGGAACAGCATAAGGCTAGGGTAGGGAGTGTGTCAACTAGGTAAACAGGGGCACCCCATAGCCCATGTCCCGGACTCTAGATAGACACCAAAGCAAAGCGAACGACAAGGCAGCACCGTCATGAATCTAAGCGACAAGCCTGGACTGCTTCCTCCTACGGCTTTCAGGGCAAACGTCAGACAGGCACATTTGCAGAGCTGGGGCACCTACGTCACGAAAATCAATTTAGACTTCTATTTCCAGCAGATGTCACAACTTGTGTTTGTCTCCCTTTTTCTAAAGATCAGAAGTTATTGGAAATGTGCCTCCAAGTGCAAGCTGAAGGCTGCGATAGCCATGGCTGGAGGGGAAGGGTCCCAGGATGAACACCAGGAGCCTGGGACATGCTCTACCCAGAGGGAGGAAACCACCCCTCTGGTACAGACCTTCGCGGGGGAGGTCTGCGAGGCCTGGCCTGCAGAGGGGTTAAAATCCGACCATCTTCTTCTGCCTTTCATGGTGTTTGTTTCCAAGCTGTTTGGCCTGGAATCTGAGGAGACAAGTGCCTTTTCATGTTTTATACATTTTATTCATACATTTCTCCAACTTTGAAATGACGAAAGCCCAAGTCTATGGTTTCCCATTACACAGCATCCTACAGATATGTATATTCTACAAAGAATACTATGCAGTTTCTCTTCTTCCCCTGTCACACGAGATAACTGGTTAGGGTTTCGACTTGTACTGTGCTGGCAGTGCCACCAGCATTGTGGTTGTCCAGGTGACAGGGCAAAGGGATTGGGATGGGAGGGCGTGTGCTAAGGCATGTAAATAGATACACACAGAGAGAAAGAAAAGCAGGACATTTACAAAGAATCCGAACCTTTCCAACCCCTTCAGCTCCTCTTGCAAGCTAAGGCTTTGCTGTACCCTGCGAATACTTACAATCGGATACGGTGAAATATACAACAACCATTAACATCTCTCTCTTTTTATCACTGAGACAATACTTCAAAACCTTTTATAAAAAGGCAATAATACATACAGAAAGAAAGAACACGTTGGCAAAGCTTTAAGCAAAACCACCCCGGAACTGAGTCTGAATGGCAATGCACCTACACTGCACTGAATCACGGCGCTGTGGTCTCAGCACCGCCAGCCTGCAGAGGACATCCCAGGCGACATTAAGACTGCAAATCAGCCCCTACCCCCCAATTCTTGGTCTCTGCCAAATGAAAAATAAAGGCAAGGCCGCTCTCTGTGGAGGAATGCCTACATCTACTCCCAAGCACAAGTCCTTCTGAGACTCTCTCCTGGTCCAGGAAGACATACCCCTGGGCCTTACTCTTTCACTCGCTCTAGAGAATGGATTTATCTCTAGGCCGTAGCAAAGTGTCCAGCTTTTGCCCACACACAGAGCTGGAGTTGTGCTTGGGGGCTAGACATGAGGTGACCTGTGTGGCTGCAAACATCTCCTTCCGTTTTCTTTTGCTTGGTCCATTTGCACAGGTTCAATCAAGGGAGGTAATGGAGGGTCAGGTGACAGGAGGTGGGAAGTCAGGCTGTCCTCTCCCGGATTATCCCTCTAACAGCTAAGACTTGGGGATGCCTGCCCCAGGGGTGCCGCTGCTCTCTCCCTACAGCTGCTGCTGTGGGCCAAGGGCACCCACAGGAAGTATAGATGGGAAGGTTGGGACACTCTCCCTCTTTCCCCCTACTTCCTGGATGGATGTGATTGTTGAACTTCACTCTGTAAGCTGGGCAATCCGAGACTTCCCCCAAGTTTAAGACAAGCACAGCCAATTAGTCCTCACAGTATGGTCCTGTAGGCAGAGGTGCCACATGAAGAGAGAGACCCTATGTCTAAAGGGGGCACAAAAGGGCAAGTGCCCCCAAACAAAAGCAGTGATGAGAAGAGCATGCAGCCCTTCTGAAAGCCACAGTGAGAAGCAAAGCATCTTTCTAAAGAATTAACCGGAGCCGCAGAACAAGGAAGATGCCCATAGGGGCTTCGGTGCGCCTAGCGTAGACAGCCCTTGTTAAGCGACTAGACTGAGAATGCTGTGCTCAGTTCTGATAAACCATCAGCACTAGCTGCCCAACGTTGCTGATCTGAAACAAGGAGTGACGAGCTGGAAGGGGCTTTTTATGGAATGTTAATCAGTGTGCCCTCTATTCTTTCCAAGGAGACATTTTTGTTAAGAATTCACTAACCAAGCAGTTTTCTCGATAGTGTTAGTGGCAAGCGAAGCTTAATTTTGCTCTGCGCAAGAAACTGACCTGAGATGCTCAAGGAACATCCCATCAGTGGGAGACAAGAGAATGCTTTGGGCTGCTTCCTTCTTAAGGGGCGGCAGCTTCCATTCTGGGTAGCCTTCGCTTCCTGGAGGGTGGCTCAATTGACTGAAATTTGCAAAGAGTAAACTGGTAGCCTTAATGAAGAGACACCTGATTGAAAAACAAGAGAACTCTAGGATGAAAAGCTTGAAAAGATTAACAGTAGCTTCAAAGGATGGTTTGGCCTGCCTGCCTACTCCAGCCCTTGGATACTGGGAAGGGGCCACTTCCAGTGCTCTTTGCGCGGTGGGGGACCCGGCAGCTTTACTTATTCTGCCGCCAATAGGCTGGGCTGAGACTCTGCCTTCTGAATGCAAATAGCAAGAAGTAGGTCAACTGGTTTCTTTGCCTTTCTGAGCAGATATTCTAAACCATCGCACCTGACAGGGGTGCATCTAAAAAAGTTACAATGTTCTCTGACACTGGGAAACTTCCAGATGAATTAAACTGAGTGACACTTTCCTTTTCAGTGTTCAGATAGGAATACAATGCACGTGAGAAGTAAGTACTGCCTTATGATTAGAAAATCAAGCCACTTCATCTTTTTTAACAAAGGACTTAGGAGATTCAAACGCCCCCTCCTGTGGTGTGGGGAGTGGGGCTGGGGTGGCAGAGAGGACCCACAATACGGCTTCCCCACACTCAACTGGCCACTGATTTAGTGATCTCTGATCATTTGCTCTAGTCTTTAAAAGGGGTGTGTGTGGTTCTTCTGATGAGATGGAGGCAGTCAGGAAGGTTTTAGCGGTATCCTCTGATTGCTCCAGGTATGACTGTCCCCGTATTACTGACTTCAGAAGTGATTTCTTCTCTAGGTCATAAACGCACTGCTTTAGAGCTGTGTATTAGTGGAAAAGAACAGATGACCTGTTGGAGAAGTCACTGCATTCTAGGAGCAGGGTTTTCACCACCTGCAGGAGAGCAGGAAGGATGCTTGCCTGAGCTCAGACTCCCCTAGAAGGCCAGTGAGAAGGTCCCCAGGCCCCCAGGTGCCAGAGCACGTCTCTCAGTCCGGGGTCACAGACATTGAAATTGGCCTCACTTTGCAATGCTCATTCTACCTGCAGGAACATGGCAGATGGCTACAGACAGGCCTTGCCAGGCTGTCTGAAGATGAGCTCTCAGGAGCACGTGGGAACGTGAGGGATTCTATCGGAGAGAGGGGCAGCTCTGTTCTCCATGTGTTAGTTGTGGTCTTTGTTTGTGCTTTACTGGAAGAGGTAGAGCAGGTTCAGAGCCACTGGAAAGAGTGGCTTATGGTCAGTACTACTGCAGTAATGGTGTCTGGCCTGGGCACCAGTTAGATCAAGGTCAGCGCTACACAGCCCTAAGCAACTCCTGGAATTTTCTCCCTCCACCTAGCAAGAGCTCACTGTTGAACCTGTCTCTGGTATGGCATTTGATCCCCCTACTACGGGAGCAAACCCAAGTTATTCTCACAACAACTTGTCGGTAAGTTGTGACCCATCTGGACACTGACAAAGAATTGTCTACAAACAGAAACCAAATGGCGTGGCGCACTAACAGCTGGGGAGGGTGGGGTGTTGAGAATGGAAAGGGAGCGTGAGCGCAAACATGCCTTCTCTGTTCAGTGCCCAAGAGGAGCTGTTCAGCCCAGAACTCACTCTGCACATCCTGCCAAGGCACAAAGTGATGAAAGTGATGGTATGTTTCCAAGGACCAGAGTCACGCCAATGCCTTGTTCTCACACATATGAAGGGGAGACACTCTGGTGGCCTCTGGCAAAGAGTCTGAGGGTCCCAGCCTGAACCTCCTCCAGTGATTCTGATATGGCAGGGGATGAGATGGTCAATGGTTCTAAAGCAACAAGGACAGGTGACTCCCCTGTGCCAAGGGATAGAGCAAGAGGAAGGAGAGACCACAGGTGGCCTTCGAGTCACATGTGCTCCAGGCTGTGCTCTGGCAGGCTGCTCTGTTGCCCAGCCAACTGATACTCACTCTTGGGCCTTTGATGGGTCAGTGAACATCCAATGAATTTTAAAACTGAAAAGATTAGCAGCTTGGAGACCTGAACAAATCTGCAATGAAATGAAGGACCCAAAGGCATTTAATTATTGAACACATACAATGAAGTATATTTAAAAAAAATTGGTCAGACTGTCCTGTTAGTTATCATTTTAAAGGAATTTACAGAGTTGTTATAGATTATTCTTTTGGAATAATTCAGTTTATAGCAAATGCCTAAACTGGTTTCTTCATTGCACAGTATATTCTCTTTAAATGGGTGCTTAAAACAATTCCATACAGATTAAAAATCCGCATTTCTTTGCTTAATTAAAACGTTAATACTCTTAGACAACACAGATCTGAAATGGCGAAACCAGCAATACCCCCTCCCACCTTACAACAAATTAAATTGAGACAAAATTACAAACACATTTCACTACATGATTATTATTAATAAAAATCAGTTTCTTTTTTTTCTGTTTTATAAAGTTGCCCGAAATGCAAGGGATGTGCATAGGTTTACAACTTAGTCATAATAGCAATTTATTCTTATTCCCCTGGGTGTGCCCCGTGAACGGAATGTACTTTGCTGTAATTACAGATTGTTTTGTCCAACACAGACACACCGACAGCATAAACGCTCGCGACTGTCCACATGCATTAAGAGTCAAGACCCAACTTCAAATCTCTAAAAGGTTTACAGGGTGCTTCAAAGAGACAGTATCACAGTATCTGGGTGTTACATAAAGGACTTCAAAAAAAGAGAGAGAAAAAAGGCCTTTAAAAATTTATGACTGTTTTGTAATCACTAGACTAATTATTTCAAATAAATAAAGGAAAGAAAGATATTCCAATCCATAAAATCAGACTCTAAAAAGAATGTAGTGTTCCACCCCCAGTCAAGGTAACAGAATCATTGTTTATTATTATTAAAATAGATTATAGAAAGCAGCATCTATTTTGTGCAGTTTTTAGGGGCCTTGGAAATAAAAAGCTATGATTTCCAAAAATATAACATTCCAAAGGATTGAATAATACATACATTTAAAGATACATTTTATTAAAGTTTAGGAGAACTGATTAAAAAAGATACTGTCTCTTTAAATTAGTGTGTAATTGTTTTTCTCCTCCTATCTATTCGGACATGACAATAATTATAAATGTAGGTCACACTACAACTAGGTAGTCTCTAGGGACCACGACCTGCTGACACAAGGCCGATAACAAAGAGGCTTTTCCACGTAGGAGGCGGCTCCCAGTTTTATACTCAGATAGTCAGGGAGAAGCCTAATAGACCCAGGAGACCGGGACCCACTGTGGGGCTGTGCACACGAGCTCAACGGCTTCCTCCAGATGTCTGATTGTCTCATCAATTTCGTTGTTGATAATTGTGAGATCGAAGTAGTGTGCGTATGTTCTCTGTAAGACATCGGACTCCTTCTGCAGGCGCTGGAGAGATTCATCCTGCATAGGGTGGATGGAAGAGGGGCAGGTACGGGAGAAAGGTAAAGCAAATGTCAGAGAGACGTCAGCTGTAGTCTCTACATTGCAGTTTGTCCCCGTGTCAGAACAGGTCGAAAGTAAACAGTGGTGGGGGCACAAGGCCCAGATGACTGTGTGACAGAGATGATTGTCCCTGTCTGGTGATGAGGGGGTTGTAGAACTTGCACTGGCAACTGTGACTGCCTGATATGCAACAGGGGTCACTGTGAAAAACAGACACAAACCAACACTCCAGCAAACACGTGGCCCCCACCCAGGCCCACCTGGGCCTATCCCCAGAGCCACGTGGGGGGAGGCCATGCAAAGCATGGGTTTCCAGTGGTACAGTTCTTTCATCATTGCTCTAAGCCAGGGTGGACCCGAGCTGCCTCCTATGGCGGGAGTACAAGTGTGGCTGGGTTGAACTCTTGGTCTTTTTCCCTTAATTCTTAAAGCCCATTTGAGCCTTGTCTTTGGATAACAAATTAAGTTGTAGTTTTCCCCTTCTACCTAAAAGGTTTAGTGTGTTCCAGGAATGGTACATAATAGCTCTCACTTGACAGCCGTTCATGCCAGAGGCAAAGCCTTCTGGATGCTACAAATAATGGCTGGAATAAGGCCATTTTTCCAACTGGCATCTGAGGAACACCCCCAAGTTGGTCTGTACTGGAAGTGATGAGGCAAATGTCACTGTTTGCACATATTCATGTCTCTTAAGAAAACAACTCTAAAGCCTTGAACTCTTGCTTGCTGAAGGATGACTGACACTCCTGTACACAGGTGGTCTCAGACCATCAGAACTCTCCCCCGGCTGAGCCGACACCAGGATGGAATTTGGGGTTTCCAGCTTGTCCCAAGAATACTGCTTTTCTTTTTGAGCCAGAGTCTCACTATGTAGTCCAGGCTGGCCTGGAACTTCTGTCTTAACCTCCCTAGTGCTAGGACTACAGGCACATGCCATCATACACACCTTGAATACTCTGTTAATGCTCGAAAGAACCACCAGGAAGACAGTCTGCTTCTTTCTTTTTATGAGTCAAATTCCTTTCCTTTCCTTCCTTTCCCCTCCCCTCCCTTTCCTTCTTATACAGGGTCTCTCTGTGAAGCCCTGGCTGTCCTGGAACTCTTTCTGTAGACCAGGCTGGTATTGAACTCACAGAGATCCGCCTGCCTTTGCCTCCTGAGTTAAAGGATTAAAGGCGTGTGCCACCAACACCTAGTAGGTCAAATTTCTTATGCTGAATTCACAAAGGTCAAATTCAAATTTGAACTTTGTGAGTAAAATTAACTACAAGCTCTCTGCTCTACCTGCCCAACACTAGGTAGCATAAACTATTAGTTGGAGTCTTATACACACACACACACACACACACACACACACACACACACACACACACTTCCCTCTGCCCTTGGGAGTAGACAGGGACAGGGCCTCTGTGTAGCCCAAGAGCCTTATTCCATATACATATGTATATATCTATAGCCTTATGCTTATTTAATTACCGGCCCCCTCCTCAGCCAGGGCATAAAGACATGTATTGCATGTTCTGCCATTGCTGTACCCCAGAGCTGAGCAGAGTGGCTCGCACGCTGTGGGTGCCTAATACAGGCTATTGAGAGAACAAGCGTTTTTGACTTGCACTGGTCCCTTCAGGATTTTTGTAAGTGTTAAGTTTATTGTCAAGAAACCGGGTGATTGCACTAGGGTATGGGGCTCAGGGTAACAGAATCTGGTCTCTAGACAATGTCAAAATGGTGATACCTTCAGGGACCAAGGAGTGCTGGGTGCCCAGCCCTGGCTAAGGACCCCTCTTCCTCTTCTCTCAAGGTACAGTTCTCCGGCAAGGGAATGAGCAGGGAGGAAATTCTATTCCAGCCTTGTGCTGGACACACAGACACCAGAGCAGCCAGGAATTCAATATTCCTTATGTGGGAACTCTGACCAATCAAAGTCTACTGGTTTAGTCACCCTCTACAGGATTTTCAAAGCAGGACACAGCATGCTTTGAGTATCCCAATGACTAGTGGCTGAGGTCACTAGTCATCTTCTGAGGTCTCAAATACACACATTCTACTTGTACCTGAAAAGCATAGTATTTTCACTGTGGCTCAGTTCCACAAGAAACACACTCCTCCTTTTCAGCAAACGTGTTCACCGGAGGCGGGAGTGCTTCCTAGCAGTCCCTGGAGGCACAGTTCCTAAGAAGTCACTCTGTGTGCTATGTGGTCCTGGGCCTGGGACACCGCTAGCTGGTTCTGGTTTGTTCAGAACATTGGGCTGATGCAAACATTCAGGGAAATTTATGGCTAGACAGAGTTCTCTTTATGGAAGAGCACAAGTCCCTTGTGTGTGCACCCTTTAAGGTGAGGCTTGGTCACCCTCCTTTTGCAGCAGCTTGTCCCCTCACAGATAAGCAGGCTTAACTCAGTGAAAACAAAATGCCTTTATCCTAACAGTAAAAGCAAGGATTTATGGAAACAAAATGTCTACATTCTACATCTGTTAAAAGACACAGGTGTATTCTATCACCTCCTAGCTGGTACTTACAGGCAGTTTTCTGCACCATTTTGGCAGCTATGGAAAATTAGTAAAAAGGCAGGACAATAGGCAAAAAACAAAAACAAAGCAAAGATGATAATTCAAGAAAAATACATAGTAACCAAGGAAAAACGTTAACCACAACGAGGAGTTTCAAACACACACGGGAAAGTAGAATTTTACAAAGGAATACGCCTTTTGCCAATGAAATGGCAAAGAACAGAGACTGAAAATATGAGCATAAAGGTCAATCTAAACATTAAAGGTACACACAACTTCCAAGCCTTGATATCACTGTACTGCAAATATGGGGCAGCATTCACTGGACGTAGTCGAGAGTCTGCAAAATCATGCTCTTCAGGATAACTGCACAGGAGCATCTTCCTAGCTCAGGACCACAGGAAGCAGATGTGGTTACATCATCAGCATATGCTGCCATCCTTGCTTCCCAGGAAGAGAGCCTTTGGGAGGGCTTGCTAAGACCTGGGCCAGCCTGGCAACTGCTGACTTGAATTGGCTTGAGAGCTCCCTGAATGTACTCCTTTTGTGGTGCTGGGGATAGAACCTAGGACAATGTTCATACTAGGCAAGTGAGAAAGGAGGCGCCCTGCTCAGGGCAGCTCATTTTTAGGTTTGCTAGTGTCCAGAGTTCTTCACAGGCAGGGGGATCCTGGGTATCACCATCAAGGTCACAGATTCTTTAGCGTGCCTCTTGGCTCCAGGGGCTGCCACTATCTTGACACAATCCTGCCAAGGAGGCAGTAGACTAGCTGCCCTGGAGGGCAGTGTCTGCTCAGAACACCTTGGTCCTTGGGAGCTGAGGGGATTTCCTCTTGTACTTCAAGAGCAGACATATTGATTAAGGCTGCAGGCTGCCTCACTGATAGCTCCAGTGCACATTGGATCTCCTGGAGCAGACTTCCTGCTGCAAATGGAGACTGATATGCTTCAGACTGTGCTAGGGAGGAGGCTGGAATCTGTCTAATGTTCTGTTCGCAGAAGAAAACCCTGCTTCTGCAGTCTAACACCAAATATCGAACAAGGCCATGTGCTCTGGAAATCAGAGTGCCCAGCGAAAGGACAAAGCAGGGCCTTGCTCACTCTTACCTCATTTAAACCTGGAGTGATAGTTGGCGCCGCAATGAAGACAACAAAAGGAGCGAACTCAGCAGTTCTCAGGACCTTCAGTGCCTGTGTGGAAAAGACAGACACTCAGCACAAGAAATAACCAAGATAACATGCAAAGGAGCCTATAAAATGTGACACAAGGCCTTGGTTCAGGTTTTTGGCAAGTTATAATTAAATGTACCAACTTTATAAGTAACGTATATTGCTTTCCTCCTAAAGGGTGGACATCAGTTCAGAAAATAGGAGCTGACAAATCGGATATGCTTCTTATGCATCTCATGACTTTGCTGAATTTACTTTTTTCTTTGTAGTTAACACTGACTGTGCTGGTTAATGTTCATTTAAACCTGGTGATTGGATGGACTACATTTTAGTTGACGGGAAATGCATTCTAGGGAGACGTAGATCTGCCGGCTGCCTTCACGGTGATTGGGAACCCACTTTGTCATGTATCTAACTGCCAATTGCTAACCAAAGATAGCAAACCCTGGCCGCCGTCACTTGTATGGGCTGTGTTCACATTTACACAGGCCTTCTGGTGAAAAGCCCCCTGTGGGACTCCTGGGAAAAGGGAGATCCTTGCCCAGGGCTACAATCATGAAGTCCTCCCACTAAGGACACTGTGTGGTTGTGGTCAATAACTTGACCCATGTGAGGACATGGCATTCAAGTGGAAGGCCTTCTGATGTTACTTCCAGTATCTTTCCAAAACGCGGCAAGTCCATGCAAGTGACTAGTTTGCAGAGATGTGCAGCAACTCTGTAAAAGCTCACTGTTCTGTTCCTCTCCTGGGAAGCCATGATACTCTTATAGGTAATAAATACTCATCCCAGCACACAGCTGACCACACCCCGGTACCTAACCCACATGCGACAACATGTGAGTGACTCACAGGCCCCAGGAGTAAACACCATGCTGCTCTATTTAATTTTAGTTTTCTTTCCCGAGACAGGGTCTTAGTATATATAGGCTGGCCTCCCTCAAACTGGCAATCCTTCTGTATTGGCCTGGGATGTGTACACCATTACGCCAGACTGTTTACTGCCCATCATACAAGAACCAAACATGTCTATTTTGTTACCTATATATTTGCTTTGTAAATGATGATTACTTTTTGTAAAAAATGTTTACATTACTTTGTAAATGTCTGTTTCCTTTCCCCTATTTCTTGGGCTCCATCCTTAGCCTGATCTATAGTGCTAATCCATAGCCTGATTCCCTGTCTCTATTTTGGGGGCTTTTAAATCCATATTCTAATCCACCGCTAGATGATCTTTCTGAAACACAAACTCCATTTTTCCCTCCTAACCCTTCAACAACCCCCTCTGCATTGCAGGAAAACACATGCTCCTTTAGCGTAAAGGCTGGGTCCCATGTTTAACCTCCTCTGCCTAGCTCTGCTCCATCTGCTGGGTGGACTGGTTTTATTGAACAACTTTCAGTCCTAGAAAAGGCCCAACTCTTTCTGGTTTCTTAACCTATTTGCTTGGTGCTTCCTCTACCTGGGTCTTTTCAGTTTGGCTGAATAATCCTTCAGAACCTAGTTTCCGGAAAGTATTTTTTTGGAAATGATCTCATATAGACAAGAATGACTTCCAACTTGTAATTCTCCTGCCTCCTTCTCCCGAGTGTTGGGATTACAGACATGCCCAGTTTTCTGTAGTGCCGAGGATTGAATGTAGGGCTTCATACACGTTAGGCATGCATTTTATCAACTGAGCTGGACCTTGAGCTCCGGATCCTCTTGTGTTGCTGATATCACACCTGGCAGTTTCTTTGGAAAGTTTACCATTGGGTTCTGAGGCCCTGCTGTGTATTCCTAAGTACCCATCAATCACACTGGAAACACAGTCACTGGGGGTGGTTTGAGGGCAAAGGCTGTGTCTTGTTCAGTTGTTTGTCTTATACTCAATAATATACACCATGAACTGCCTTTATGAGTCAGTAAAACTGTAAAAACAGGAAATCTAATCTGTAAAACACTTCTCCTGGCCTTTGAAGCACGTCTAACTGGAGAGCCATTGCTCTCCTGGCATCTCCAAGCACACAGAATTCTAAGATCCAATCTGAGTGTAAGCTTGGCATGCACTAGAATTCTAGATCTAGATTTTGGTCACAGACTGTCTTTGGGTAGGCGAGGGGACCGTGGTTCACTGTCGTATCTGCCCAAATCTCTTTAGTGGTCAAGCCACAGGCTCAGAATGTTTTCCAAGCCTCCCCGTGTTCACGTTTGATAGAGGTAGCTGCCCATTTCTTTGTTCACCTGTTGTGACTGAACACGATTCAAGTAAGCCCAGTGAGAGTCCTCACATAGAGATGCCCTCTTTGTCACTATCAGGTGGGATATAAGGCTTTCTCATCATTTCCAATGGATAATCTCTCTCTCTCTCTCTCTCTCTCTCTCTCTCTCTCTCTCTCTCTCTCTCTCTCTCTCTCTCTCTCTCCCTCCCCTCTCTGTCAACTAAGATGTGGAAAACTTTTCTCCCTGAGGTACCTCTGAGTGCCAGATGGAAGTACATACAGTCTGTATCCTGAATGGAATTCACAGAGGACAACAACAACGATACCCCACGAGAGACGGTTTTCTTCTTAGTCACACACCCTGCTGGCCACCCAACCCTGTGAGTGCATTCAATTCTAGCGTGCCAACATGCTGCTGCACAAACAAACTCATTGCTTGGAAAGAGCAGTTCAGCTCCCGGTGGCCTAGCCACACATGCACTGTGTGCTGCCCTAAGTCTACAGCTGTAAATAAGGAGGGCCACTTGACTCCTAACGGCAGGAAAGCCCCAAGGAAGGGCGTGCTCACCACATTTCCAGAGGTTTCTTGTGCCTGAAAAATCAGCTCTAGGTGCCCCCTCCCACCCCACAGCTGACAAAGGTTAGAACCAAATTTAATGCTTATCATAATAACTGCAGTAGGTCCTGTGGTTAGCATATTGCTCCCCTGTCTTTTCCATGGTTTCCTATTTCTATCCTGTATTACTGTGTTTTCCAAAATTCCAATGCGCCTCAAATCCCAACTGTGGCTTTCTTGTCTGGCTAGACTTCAGTGTGAGTATCATCAGCACACAGCTCATTTGTTTCTGACAGTCTCTAGCCTCATATCCTGTTCTAGTTACGGTTTTCAAGCAGGAGCCATTTTAGGTCCAGGCTCTTGGCTGAAGTTCATTGTCACTTTAGGGACAGAAAATGGAACTGCTCATAAGGAGTCCCCTCCCTCAGGTGGTGAACATCAGAGTTACAAGATGAACTCCAAACCTCTGATTTAAGGTGAGATACAAATTTGTTAGTAGTCACAAGTAAATCTCTCTTTCTAAAAGGGAGGAGGGGAAGAAAGGGAGGGAAGGAGAGGAGAGAAGAGAAGGCAGAGAAGAAAGGAGGAGAGGAGGAGGGAGAGAGACAGAGACAGACCGAGAGAAAATACACACTCTAGAAAAACCACTAGAAACACACTGGATTCAAATAATCACTAGATTCATACTAGATTAAAAAAGTATCATTCATTTATGAGGGGTAATTTATGGAGATAAACGCATTTTTATAGTTCATCTATGTATGACCAAGAATTTATCTTAGGCTATCTTGCCAAGGAAAACGAATTAATTTGATTCAAGGACCTACGATGCAGGTCTCATTAGACTATTGTAGTTTGCAAAGTTACAAAGTATACAGGGCAAGCAGCTCAGTTATTTTTTTGCACAATGCAAGGGCTTCAGGAAAAACAGTGACAACCAGAGAACAGAATGGCCTCTGTCTCTTGGTCTTGGTACTGAGGAAGGAACCTAGGAGCCTCCAGCATGCTAAGCAGTGCCCCTACCAATGAGCGAGGCCCCCGCCCCTGACTCTTTTTTAAAAGTTTCTAGTATGTTTGGAATTTATCTCTGGCTGACAACTCTTCTCTCTTTGGGCAAAGGCAAAGCTACAAATCAACTGCCATTAACTGTTTTGGACATAGAATCTAGCTATTTATTCCAGGCTGGCCTTGAATTTATGATCACCTGCCGTAGCCTCCTGAGTGCTGGTATCACAGGCAGGCACAGCTGCTCCCAGCAACTAGTATTAACTTTGCAACACTTCTGACTGGTAAATCAGAACACAGATCAAGTTAAAAACTGTTATATTAAGTTCCAATTCCCTACCAGTTACTATTCTATAGTTTCTGCTTTATTGGTATAGATTAGTTCCTCAAGTTTTATTCCCATGAGAAATGAACTTTACTTTATTTTTTCAGTTTCATTACCCTATAGACGTTTTTAGATGTTAAAGAAAAAAAAGGTTTAATTGAAGTGTTACTCATAAGGTGGGAGGGAGAGCTAGAGGGTGCCCAAGATTGCCTTGCCTTGGATGGCACAAAAGGTTGGGATTTAGCATACAAAAAGTAAAAACCCAACATAGTTCAAAGGTCACTTTCTCCTGACTGGAGAAGCTTGGTTACATTAAGCTGTTTTCTTCACCTATGGCAGTAGATATTGATAGAGTTCCTCAAGCTGACCAGGGATATAATCTCTTGCTATTTTTAAAGCATCCAGGATACTGGTGTATTTTTTTTCTAGCTTAGTACCACTGCTACGGCCCTCTAGGTTGAAGCTGGACCACCACATCTTATCATTTAGTAGTGGTGCTCAAATTTAGCATCACTTGTCTGAAATAGATTAAGACGACACAAAGCATTAGACATGTCGGAAGGGAGCTGAGCACCAGGGTTAGGTGGTCATCCACTGGGCCACCTATGGGACAAGTGGCTTCAGCTGTAGTAGATGCCGAGCAGTTTTAAACAAGAAAAGCCACAAGGCACTTTCCCTCTTTTGGAGTTTCTGAGGTGCATGCAGGAAGGAATTACATCCTCACCAGCTCGTCTCCTTAAGTGCATTCTTAACTCTCGGCACATAGCGTGGCACATTAGTGTTTTGTACAAGTGTGCTGAGTCAGACTGACATACAGTAGAGACCTTAGTCTAAACAGCTGGGGTGGGAAAGGAGCATGGAGGAAAACGTTCTAAGAACAAGGCCCTGCCTGAAAATAAGCCATTCATGGCCATAGACATCCTGAAAGTAGGAGGAGGTTGCTCCCCGGGCCTGAAGAGAGTGGACTGAGGGCAGGGAGGCCCAGCGGAACCCTGTTAGTACGGACCCCATAGGTACCCCAGATTGTACTGCCATACATAGCATCCAGCTAGGAGTCTAGACTGGGCAGGAGAGCCTGGGACCAGAATGGTCAACCAGTCCATACAGGGGCCAGATGGCCCTGGGCCATTCTAGGGCAGAGGCCAGGATGCTTAGGGCCCGCCCTCAGCGGCCAGTGGAACTGAGAGATCACAGTTGTGAGAGGAGGGGAAACAGGAAGCAGGAGAGGAAGCACAGGTGAGCTCATCCAGCAGTCAGGGCAGCAGGGGCCAGTGTGCCCGGCAGGAGGAGGTGCCGGGCCAAGTGCAATGGAGAAAGGATCTGCTGTGGACGTCCTGATGAGGCTGAGAGATGGGTCTCCCGCTCAGCAGTGCAGAGCAGTGCATGGCTGTGCAAGGGCAAGGGACAGGGACAGGGACAGCTGGGTGCTATGAGTGGAGCAGCAGCGGCAGCAGCGGTGGTGGTGGTGGTAGCGGCGGCGGTGGCAGCAGCAGCAGCAGCAGGGAAGGCAGAAAGCCCTTGGAAGTGGCCTGAGGTAATGCAGAGGGATCTGAGGAGCCCTGCAGCCAGCATACTGCTAGAGACATTACTACCAGCAGAAAACGACGTTCAGGTGAAGACCAGTGTGGAACCCAAGGAGAGGATGTCGAAGACCAGGACCAGGATTGAGACTTTGCCTCTAGCCACCCCTGGCCAGAAGATTTTTCCAATCCCTAGTAAGGAGGGATTAGTAGTTAAACAAAGATCAATCTGTGTTACACATCATCATATTTAGTTCTCTATAGGTCCAAGTTAACCGTTAAGTAAACTACAGTGTTTACCCTATGGTTTTACTCCTCCCTAGCCCCTAAGCAGATCCTATTGTGATTTCCAAAGTTCCGAGTTCAATAACCCCACTTGGTGGTAAAATGGAAATGGATGAAGCTATTGGCCATGGGTTAGACCCTTGGAGTCCAGAAATGGAGCCATCAGGGCCCAGGTCACACAGACTGTAATCTACAAGTCTCATGCGGTGATCCCTCAACAGGGCTTTTCCCTGTCTGGGACAGGTACATAAGCCTCCTCCTGTTGAAGCAGAGCCTGCTCAACCAGGGGCATTTCTCTATCTCAGCACGTGGAAGACCCATTCTAGGCTAAGCGATGAAAGATGTGGGGTATGAATCCATCTTGGAAAGGGCACGTCTGAGACCTAAGAGTCCCCATCAGCCTGTCCTGTAACTTCCTCTCATGTCTATCAACCCCAAGTCCTTTTCCTTGTGCTTTAAGCCCTACTTCTACTTGGCTTATGCTCAGACATGAGAAATTAGCTTGTCAGCATTTCTGTTCTGCTTGTGTATGCTAAGCATGTGCCCACCTTACCGCTGAGCTACAGTGATGTCAATCCCTATATGAAGTCTTCAACTTTCTCAAGTTCTAGCATTACTATTGCTTCCTACATAAGACTTGGTTACAAATCATGTAACCAATCAACTTTGTATCTAGCTCCTTTTTGAGTCCCCTCCAAGGAAAGGAAATAGCAGAGGCTGAGAGCCACCTGGGCTCTTAATCCCTGCTTCACCTAACCCTAGGTGAAAGCACTCACAACTACTTTCATGAAAGCTACGGCTGTTTCACATCCAGCCCTCAGGATCAGTTTCTCACAAATGATCAACGTAAGATATCCGCAGATGCTCTATTGGTCCAGCATGGGCTGTACCAGGAGACCAGAGGTGGGCTGCTGTGATAACAAACGGCCAGAGCCTCATCCTGAGGTCAGGTAAGTGTAGGGATTCTGGCAGGCACAGACCCAAATGGGTACTTCACCGAGCTTCTGAGTATAAGCCGCAGAAGACAACAATATGCTTCTTAAATGCATGCTGTGTACGCTGAGTTCAGTTACTGGTCAGTTTACACCCTAGACTGTTGACCCAGGCAGTCTTGAGAACTGAAATTTTCCTGTGGCTTAGAAAATGGTTTCCGTGACCCAAAACTTTCTGATGGCATTTTGGATTTCAGAATCTGAGCTTACCAGCATGCAGGCAAGATGGAGTGGGTTCAGGGTGGCTTGGACATTACCTGAGGCTCCACATCCAGTATGGCAATCAGCCCCTGCTCGTGGATTTTCCGAATGGTCTCCAGTTTTGTCCCATACATTGCATCCTCGTGGCTGCCATACTCCAAGTACTCATTATTTGAGATGTCTTGCATCATTTGGTCATGAGATACAAAGTAATAATTCTTGCCATTTTCTTCATCTTTCTTTGGAGGTCTGGTTGTATCTGCAAAGTTCCATTAGTGAAAGGATTAAATGTGGATTGATGAGTTACACTCCTAATAGACTTACTGAACTCAATTACTGTGTGTGTGTGTGTGTGTGCGCGCGCGCGTGCACACTGAGATCCACGCTTCTGTGTTTATTATGTAAGCTCCTCAATTGTTTTTAAAAGCCGGTTAAGCCAGGTATGATAGCACACAGCTGCAATTCCATCACTTAGGGGAGGTAGCAACAGGAGGATTACAATTCCAAGGCCAGCCTGGGATACAAGAGACCTTGTCTCAAAAAAAAAAAAAGCTGTTGATAATTTACATTGTCTCATAGTCTGTTTCTAGCAATGTTGCAGAAGCAATTTAAAAACCATATTTATTTATGTAAAGCAGCATATCAGATATTTTCTTTGGTTTGTTTGTTGTTTGGTAAATATTTTAGTGTTGTGAGATGCATTTCACACTGTCCCAGGAGGAAAGACATGAAGTGACTGTGATATTTTTGGAATGAAAAATGGCCTTGATAGAGTCAGGTATTTGAACACTTGGTCTCCTGTTGGTGGCACTGTTTGGGGAGTTTGAGCCTTGCTAAAGGAAATATGTCACCTGGGACAGAATTTGAGACTCACAGCCTTGTCCAATTTCCAGTTTGCTCTCTCTGCTTTGTGTTTGAGGCTGGAAATGTGATGTATCAGCTTCTTGTTCCTGCTGCTATGTCTACCCTGCTATGACAGACTCTCACCCCCTGGAACTGTAAGCCAAAACAGACTCTTTTTTCTGTAAGTTATCACAGCAACAGAAAAATAACTAATAGGGTGACCCAAGATTAACATAACTCACTAGCCCTTAGCTTACTTGGGTCCGTGCAGAAGGAAGAAAAGATAAAAGAATAGATAACTACATGTGGCTATTTACATTTAAACCAACGGTAGTGACATAGTTAAGTTTCTTCATCTCACTAGTCGTATTTCAATGACTGAAGAGACAGAGGACTATTCAATTGGACACTTTAGATACTGAAACTTCTCCTAGATAGTGTTAGTCTACACCACTTCACAATGAGACTGTTTCTTGCATATAGCAAAGGCACACCATCCTGAAAACACAATGGACATAAAGGGGTGTGGCTGTGAGTATCCTAGAAGAACTAAACCAAAAGGCGAGGCAAGGAAGTGCTGAACTGCTCTAGAGGCCAAATGGTCTTTCAGAGATTTTTTTTTTAATTTTTTGAGACAAGGTTTTACTTTGTACCCCTGGCTAGCCTGGTTTTTGGTATGTCACTATGGCTGGACTCAAACCTGTAACTTATCCTGGCTTCTCTCTGTTTCCTGGCTGCCATGAGGTAAGTTTTGTTCTGCTGTAAGCTCTTGCCATCATGGTATTCCATCTCACCACAGACCCACAGCAATAGAGCAAGCCAGCCACCAATGGACTGGCATCTCTGAACTGTGAGCCCCAAATCACTTTGTTCCTTTTAAGTTGTTTTTCTTTTCAGGTATTGCCATATCAGCAAAAGGCTAACACAATTGGACATACATATATACCCTCTCTGTCTTCCTTCCCTGTTTTCCCTCCCTGTTTCTGTTCTCTCATCTTTCAACTTCCTTCTGTATTGCTTCCTTCCTTCCTTGAGTAAAGACAAATTCATGCTACTCTTTGCTGAATACATGGACCAACCAACTCAAAGAGGATGCTTTCTCTAGTTACATTGAAAGCTGAAGTTGGCATACCTAATCCTCAGTTATCTTAGGTAATATTACATATTACATCAGGTAATGTACAGTGCATGTAATGTACATCAGAGTCCACAATTTAAGAGATCAGACATGGTTGATGTTATCAAAGGTATGCTTTAAAACTGAGCTACTTAGCTGCACTGTGGTGGCACACGCCTTTAATCCCAGCACCTGGGAGACAGAGGCAGGCGGATCTCTGTGAGTTCAAGGCCAGCCTGGTCTACAGAGTGAGTTCCAGGACAGGCTTCAAAGCATCACAGAGAAACCCTGTCTCAAAAAACCAAAAACCAAAACAAAACAAAAAACTAATCTGAACCAAACAAAACATAAGTAAACATTTAATAACCTGGAAGCTCAACTGCTATGTGATCAAGATGCAACTAAACATTACCCAAATGTAATATGGTCATGGTACAGACATGAGAACTGAATGAACATTTCAAAATGTTTGAGTAGAAAATCGCAATGGCACCAATTGCAATACCCGGTAAGCTTTTCTGGTGCTAACCCGTGTACTTCTGAGGGCCCCTGGCTCTGAGGTCTACATCAACCTTGCTTCAGGAAGACTCTGAACACTCAACAGGAAGGAGTCGGTCTTGACATTTAGCCCTGGCAGGCGTCAACCTGCAGGGGTCCTATTGTGTCTGCCTCTTTTGTGCTGGATGTAGGTGTGTGCCACCCCTGTAGCTCTAGAGTCTTTCCTTCTCCGTTAGCTCTGCCACCCTGCCTGTCTTCTGCATGGTTTTTGGAACTGAAATGTTGACCTTTAGAATAATGATGTGAACAATAAAATGGCAGCTCAGATAGCTATGACTTAACCACCATCCGCTTCACACACATTCTCTCGAACCTTTGTACAACCATGAGATGACCCCATTTCACAGTTGTGGAAATGAAGAGGGCAAGAGGTTAACAGTGTGAAATAGACAAGTAAAGGTGATTGAAAATATTACAGATTTGAATTCCTTATACTAAACAACAGAGAGTTCATTAACTGGACTTTAAAATTATAAGTCAATAATGTAGATAATTGGTGGAAACATGGTTGTATCACAGAAAAATATCAAACAGTTAAAGATTATTTTTAAAAGAATCATTCATCTAGATAATGTTTATGATATACTGCTGGGGAAATTAGGTTCCAAAAAACATGGACAAGACTTATGCTGTAACTCCCCGCTGTGCATATGTTGACATTAAGAGAAGCGTAGAAGGGGGGTTAACCAACATATAAATGTACTTAGTATTTGGAAAATGAGTTTGAATTTCCTCATTCCCTTCATTGCTCTTGTTTTGGATTTTACTAATTTCCTATAGTACACAGTTATTATTTATATAATTAGAAAAATATGCATATTAAAATAACAACATGGTAGGATAGAAAGAATTCTGATTGATCCATTGCTTACGTGGAATAGGGTATGCAAACCGGTCCGGGTGCTTTGTGATGAGGGTGTTTTTTATGTGTCTTCTCCCAACACCATGTGCACCTATGTAATTTTTGAAAAGAGTGGTAAAATTAACAGCTAGTAATAACATTTGTAAAATGGTTTGGAGGTGAGAATAACAAGTCGCTGATCCAGCTAGACTTACCTAGTAAGACCAGTGTTTTCCTTTTGAATGCTGGCAGTTTGACTACTTCTTCATATGTGACAAGATCTAATTGATCAAACACTAAAATGCAAAGATTTAGAAGAAAGGTAAGTTTATGGGATGGTAATTTCATGGAGGCGAATTATAATTTTATTGGAAAAACTAAGTTACAGTAACATCATGAATCCTGCTTATGATATGGAGTTTCCATGTGATTTAATTTTCAGTGCCATTATGGGAGAAAGTTTCATTTTTAAGCCCATGAAAATGCACTTGAGAACCAGGAACAACCAAAGAGATGATGGGTACATGCATGAAAGTCCAATTCTAAAGGATACTTCATAGTTTTTCATGCAGTATTCCAACAAATCATTTGAGTGGACTCAGAAACACATGCTGTTCATCTTTTCACAATTCTAAGAAATTAGCAATGTTAAAAAGAAAAAGTCTTTGGGAAGCAACCAACACAAGTAGACCATGGGTGCAACTGAAGTTAAGCGAGTGAGGGCCAGCTGTAGCACGTCCAGAGATGGGTGAGAAATGCATGGTCATCCAGTTGTTACTTAATGCTATTGCTCTTTATTACTTCTTCAGAATTGATGAGGGTGGCATGTTCCAATCCGTCAAAGCCAGGTTCTGGACGGATTTTTATAAGCTTTTAATAGAACATTTCACAAATTTTACTGTAACTCAGTCAGGTCTTGGGAAGGCATGGGTTTTAAGCAGAGAATCATGCATTCCTGGCCCGGAAACCATGTCAGCCATTAATTATATGAGAAGCTATGTGATAAATAAGGATGGACAGGATGGAAATAATCACGGAGGGTTTGAGCTTCGAAACCTTTAAGAAAGGGTAGTTCTTTAATTATTATAGACAGAGAAATACTTTAAAAATATGTTTCAGAAATGCGTTTTTCAACACTATGATGAGAACAATTTCAAACAATATGGGAAAGCTCATTGTTATTGAAAGGGTCTGATTCTCACACACATTTGAAAATTCTCATGAGAAGGCTGAAATCAGACATCTTCATTTCCTGTAACTACCCTCTCACGGTCATACCCAACTATCATCAAGTACATAGTGAAGTTTCCTCTTAAAATATTAAGTTCTCCTAGGATTTCAGAGGGGGTAAATAATTCAGTGAAGTGGATCCCACGGTTGAATCATGCAGAGAGCTTCTGCTCCCTGAAACAATATGGCCAAATGATCTTGAGAATCAGCTCAGTCCTTAACATCTGTGATCTGCACAGTAGCAAAGAACTTTATGATGCAAAAATAAGGTACCATGGAATGCAATAGATCATAAACACATAAATGAGTTAAAAGCATCATTCTCAAAATATACAAAGGAATATAATATATAAAATAAAGGTTAGTGCATATTAATGGGTCTTTGTATATTTGTTTTTGTTTGATAAGTTGATTCTATAAAAGTTGAGTAAAAAAACTTTAGACCATATTCTCTAGCAATAGCTTATATTGGAGAAATGTTCACAGAATGGCATGGTCACAAAATTAAAGTGAATATGAGACTCCCTGTGGTAGAGCTAGTTTGCTGTGCAACTGTGATAATGGAATGATGAGAATTGCAGAAATAAAAGCAGGAGTGCTTATGGCATTGCTTTCTGTACCCATTACCTTGAATCCTATTTCCATCAAGGAAAAGTGTGCTGATGGGAAGAAGTCATCAGCAAATTGATGTGCTTTTATCTATACAAACCATCCAGTGCTTCATGAAAGAGCAAAATGATGATGACACAAAGTTTTCTGAAAGGCAGACCTCCCTCTCTAGAGTTCTAACTTGAGTTTTGCTTATTTATGCCTTTGTAATTTTCTAAAAGTATACAAGTTAGGGACCAACAATCAACACACCACAAACAAATGAACAGGTAGGTTAAACATTAGAATCTTAGCTATGAATGAGTAGCATGAAGAGGTTACTCCGGTCTAAATAAAATTGCCACATAGTCATAGGGTTGCAAAACAAAGCAAAACAGGATATTTGAAAACAAGAGATACAAGGAATATTAGAAGAACACTTAAATACTGAACTTTTAAAGGGTTTAAATTGCTTGCTGATTAAAGGAAAAGGACTTAATAAAATGAAATCATCAAAAACACAGAGGCATAGTCATTCAACAGGTTACTTACATGCACAGAGGCCATTGGGAGTGAGACAGCATGAAAAATGTACAGGGGTCATTGAAATATGTTTTATTAGTAAAATAAAAATATAATAGGCACAAAATAAACTTTGTCATGCAATATTTTAAACACAAGGTAAATAAACCACATTAAGAAACAAACTCATTTTAATACAAATTCAATCACACCCTTATATAAAAGCCAGTGGATTTTATATGCTGGTATGTATATGGAATTTATGTGGGAATGATAAGAAATCCCTTTTAGAGATAACAAATGTAGGGGTCTTTTACTTTTCACTTTGAAAATTCCTGTACCATCTGTAATTTCTAGTTATGTGTGCCTATTAGCTTATTATTATTGTATTTTATGGTTCTGGGATCAAACTCAGAACTTTGCCTTGCACATGCTAATAAAGTGCCCTATCACCAGCTTCACCTCCAGCCCTACTTTTATTATTAAAAAATGCCAAAATCAGTGAGGTTATAGGCCATTTTTCTTCAAGATAGTTTAAAAAGGCTACTAGTTTGTAGTATTAAGCATAATTTAAACACTGAATATATACTATCCCAGAAATCCTCTAAGTTCATATACACCCACATTAGCGGTATTTTCAGGACATTAAATACCCCTGCTCTAATGTCTTATGTTAAAAAAATGAATACAGCAGGGCGGTGGTGGCGCACGCCTTTAATCCCAGCACTAGGGAGGCAGAGGCAGGCGGATCTCTGTGAGTTCGAGACCAAGCCTGGTCTACCGAGCGAGTTCCAGGACAGGCTCCAAAACAATACAGAGAAACCCTGTCTCGAAAAAACAAAAAAAAAATGAATACAGACTCTCTAATTTGTAAAAAAGTTTAAATCAGCAACGTGAACTAAAAATGACTTTTAAAAAATGTGCATTGGTGTTTTGGCTGCATGTTTGTCTGTGTGATAGTATCAGATCTTATAGTTGCAGACAGTTGTAAACTCATGTGGGTGGTAGGAACTGAACCTAAGTCCACTAGAATAGCAGTCAGTGTTTTTAGCCACTGAGCCATCTCTCCAGTCCCCTGAAAGCGACTTCTTGAAGTCCTGGGCTTCGGAAGCTCAGTGCATCTAGAGTACGGTTCTAGCAGGATGACAATACTGTTTGCATCAGATACATGTGGCTAAAAGTTTGCAGAAAGTGTATTTGGTGTACAATACCATAATCCAATTCATACCCAAGAATTCAGAAATATTTCCTGGCACACTTTGTTTATATTTCTCTGATTTCCTGGTAAGCTACTTAACATTTCAGGCACTTACATATTTAAGCAACTATTTGGGAAAAAAAGGCAAGATGTTAACATTGAACCCTTGCTTGTGTTTGAAAGGCTACAAGTAGCTTCAAATACTGAAAACCAAACAGACAAACAACAAACAACCCCCCTCCAAAGCCAACTTCAGGTAAGAAAGAATTCCAACTAGTGGCACTGGTTAGAGAGGACACGGGATGTCTGTAGTGGCCAGATAGCTAATGCAAAACAAAACAAAGCAGGACATATGGGGGTACCAGGGAATGAAATATTCATCCAAAAGGGATATCAGCAACTCAAAGACCCTAAATAAGGAAGTAACTTAGTGATGCTGCATTTACTATTTTGTCAAGGGATGTCTAAAACCCAAAGTTTTGTGTTACATAACTTGATTTTCAAATGTGATATCATAAAATTATTTAAATATTGTGTTTGGATGAAATTTATTTATACCACTATATTATGTAGGATGTAGGCTGCATAGTTTGGCAAAATTCTGCTTTAACTAGACATGTGGATTTTCCTGGTGACAGAAATAATAGACTTTGATGTTATTATTGCCATTCATGGTGCTGTTGACAAAGTCTCTATCCTTTATTATATTTGAAGATACAAGTAATTTCCAACTTTGATGATAATATTTAGAACTTGTCATAAGTACATGATGAATTTTCCAAGGTTTCGAACAGGTAAGAAAACCCATGACCTTATTTTGAGTTACTGTACAACATAGGAATAGAGCTTGCTATCTTTTATGGCCACTTTCTGAAAGAAATCCTTGAGAAATACAGTTTGATTTGTGAGCATCTGGTTAGTTGTTGGTATGAAAGAATATACTATTTCCATGTTTTCACAGAATCTGCCTTACCTAGATGGAGGTCACCAGTATTTTACAGCAATTCTTTTTTTTTAAACAATACATGCCAGGTTTATTCTCACAACTGCATACACAGCTCTGGGACTAAAATGTTATAACTAATACAAAATGATAAAATTATTTGCAATTAAAATTTGCTACTCTTAAATCTTCTGAAGTGTAATGTTACTTTTGTTTTTAATTTTTTAAAATTTGTAACTTTGTAAGAAGCAGATGTTCTTTCTAAGGTAAGCATGATTAAGACACCCAAGGGGCACGTGCAACTACACCGTCGCCTCAGCAGATCATCACTGCTGAAGGTGTACAGCAAGTCTTTATGTGGGCAATACGATAATTTATGAGGCAACCTCACCCTAGCTAAAGCAGACAGCTGTCTTCTGACAGCTTCATCTCTTACAGGGATAAGCAAAGGGTTCTGGACCTTAGGAAAAACAAGATGGAAACATTCACTGATAAAGTAGAGGAATCCTCAAGAGATGGTAAGAGAAAGGAATGCTAGGCTTAGTTAAGCAAGTATATTACAGACAGACCAGGATAAAAGTTGGCCATCTTCTCCTAAGAGAGAGATTAAGGAGAACTCATGACTATGGGGGAAGGAACCCTGACAGCGATATTATGACTAGACTCCCAGATAAGCAGAAACACAAAGATTTAGAAAGAAACTTAAGTGGCTATGCAAGGACCTTCCTTCCAAGCTGCTCAGACTTTCTTTGAAGTCAGGCAGATAAACACAGACAGGTAGAACCATCAATCCCTCCAGCATGACAAGGACTGCTTGGATGCCTAGAAGAGATCATGGTTAGGAAAATACTAAGGGCAACAAAAAGAATGGTGGCCCTCTGTTCCCTGTGCAGCTAAGGTTACTATTTTTCCTCAGTTTGGGTTTATGAGAACTTTGGCACATGGTTTGGGAATAGGAGATGACATGTCAAAGGATGGAGAAGAAAACAGTTGTATCCCATTGTCTAAATCAAGGACAAATGCTTTTCACCCTGGATAGGCAGCATTTTTCAGAGAGCTACAGCCTGAGCCATGGAGCACTGAAAGATTACTCAGATTTACCCCAAGGGTACCTGTTTGCCAGGCTGAGTGATGAAAGAACCTTAGCTCCACTGAGGTTTACAATTAAGGACAACCTTGATGGGCTAACCTGGCTGCCTTGTTTGAAGGCGTCAATGGGCTAAGTGACCAAGTCACACACTTCCTCTGGGTGGGCTAATGATCCTGTCTCCGGTCACCTATTCGGCTGACAGTCACATTTGTAGGAATAGTGGCCATTGCCTACTGGGAAGCCAAATGGGCATGGTGGAAGAAGCAGAGTGATGCCCCAGTGCTCCAGGAACAGAAAATGTGAACCACAGAAAACGAGGACCACTAGCTTTCAGAATGGATGCTGATTCTCTGGCAACATTCTTCAACGGATGATTTGATTAGGTCTTTGTCAACAGTCGGAGAAGTCGAATTTTCTGATCAATTCACTTAATTATCACCATAGAACATTGGCAAATTGAATACTGATGTCCACATGCCTTCCAATTAGTAAATTATAAAGCTAATGACATATTAAGCAGATTTACCCAGCTATTTCTTTGCTTTTCTAGGTTTAAATAAATTTGAGTGTCATTAGTGTTTATGTATCATTTAACACTATACAAATTACAAGTTGAACTAGATAATGAATGTCCTCTTTCATTTTGATGCTGAGGATGGAACCCAGGGTCTTTCACATGCTAGGCAAGCACTTTACTACTGAGCTACAACCCCAGTAGCTGATTACTTTTTCTGTCTTTAAGTAATCTCCTTGTGAGTTGGCTTGATAGTGCTAGACTAGTGGAAGCAGAGAGAAGACGTCTCAGGAAAAGCTACCTTCTGCTGCTGCTGTGCAGTTTCTCAAACAGCACTACTTGAACATAGTGGTTGCTAGAGTCTGTCTAGATACTCTGCTTTAGATATTTCTGCCCTGTATGCAGCCAACACAGAAGCCATTGTGACGTTACTGCACTGTGGTAGCACATGAGAAACAAAGTTTTAATTGGGAATAAGAGTGCACAGAGTAACCGGTGCAAAGGGAAAGAGCCCCTATTAAATCGAGCCATTTCAACTGAACCCATACGGACATTCACATTCAATTCAGAAGTCATAAATGCCTCTTCCTAGTGGATGTTGATGCACACTGCACAAAGAAAGTCACATTCCAGATTTCTCAGAAGCATACTGAATTGCCTATGAATGAATGGAGTTGTGTGACGTTTTTGGCCACATGTTTGATATTCGGGAGTTATTTCTGAAACCTTGGGAACTATTCTATCGCCAACATTTAATTTCTCAGGAAAAATACTTATAAAAGGAGCCACACTGAGAAGTCATTGAAATTAAATATACTACCACATATTTCCTTTCAGCTTAGATGACATCCTGCGAGTCTGTTGGGAATTCAAGTGCAATACCAGATCACACTTTCTTGGTATGCATTTTGGTTTTTAACACAACAGTGAACCCTGTGATTCATTTGAAACCCAGTTGCCATACAGACACAGGTAAGGTGAGGTAATGAGGGCCTAGATAATGTCCTTGTGTTTTTTAAGAACTTCAAAGAAAAATAAGGGAAGTCACATAATCACAGAAGCTATCTCGAGTTAGTATGCACATCACCCGTGCCCTTTCAGACTAGCTACAGAACCCTCTGTAGCATGGCCCTTCTAAGCAACTTTGTCTTTAATACTGTCATGGGTCCATATCCAAGGGCCAAGAGGAGCTAGGAGGGAGGGTCATTCTCTCAAGTTCAATCTCAGCCAGAGAGGAGAGAACCCCAGGGACTCAACACGCTCCCAAACACTTGGTTCTCAATGTTCCTTTCATCATAGAGGATACTACCTCCAAACAGCACCTTTTGTAGTGGCCATCTTGCCTTGCCAGTGAAATTATAGCAGTGACCACATTCTTTGGGCGTGGTTTCAGGTGCAGACGTGACCCTTTTAAGGTAGAGGAGCTGCGGGCCCACACTCTCTTGGGTTGCAGAGAGCATCGGGAGAGCACAGACTTCATCTTCTGGAGCAGGAAGGCCTCGGCAGTTATTTACTCTTATCTGTGTAAGTGCTTCCATAATAAATACCTATTGATCATTTATCTTGGGTCTGGTGAACTCATTTAAACCCTGCCTGCAACCTTTGTCCTATAAAGTAGAGCTCTGCAAAATAACTGGTAGGAGGCAGGGGTTCTTAAGGCATCTGCAGGTTGGTCAAGGTCTCATAGGATACAAGGTTCTGGAAGAGAACTCTGAAGACCAAATGTAAATGCTGTTTTTGTTTAGGTCTTGGAAATATTTGACCTGGCCTCAGAAGCAGACATGCTTTTCCTACCTGCATTGTGCTTTGCCAAATATTTGTCTTTGTACTGCTTCTTTTTCTTGCCAAACCAAGTACAGCTGGCCTGCTGCTCTTGTTTGGTCTTCTCCATGGCAATGCAAGCTACTCGCCTAGTACACAAAGAAAGAAAGAAGAATCCAACAAAGTTAATGCATAGTTTTATGCTGAGAAAAGAGAAACAGTCATTTGAAAGCTACACAAAACAGCAAGAATATCCTCCCTCCTCGGTCCTTGAAATCACTGACATAAAGGCTGTTCTTTGGCTTTCACGACAGCTTCCTAGAAATGGCTTAAAACTCCAAGCATATGTTAAAATTGCATTGTGTTCCTTGAGCCCACATTAACTGATAATAAGAGTCAGGAGTTTCAACATGTGGTTATGAGATTCAGGATGATGAGCATGGGATGATGAGTCTGTTTGCATCATGATTTGTCACTCACTAGCCTATTTTGAGTGCTGAGTACTTAGTGTTAGGCACGTTTCTGGGAATTTTCCACGTATTAGCCCAGGTAATCATTTTGACACACTGAATCACACATTGCATAGACATTCTTAAAATTTATAGTTTTGTCTTTCATATTTTATTATATTAGAATGATTTTTGCTTGTCATATGAAGTAAGAGTCCAGTCTCTTTGGTCTCCTTTATGGCTACCCAACTGTCCTAGCAGGATATAATGAAAACAGGAAGACCATTCCTCACTGCTGTGTAATGCTATTAGTTACATAGCAAGTGCCTGTTTTGGTATGGGAGTGCTTTAGGATTTTGTCTCTTTAGTTGGTCTATCTGAGCATCTCTGAAATACTATACCTTTGTGGGTTTTGGCATTTGGTTGAGTAAGACCTTGTTCCTTGTTCAAGATACCCTGGCTATCCCTGAATTTGTGCATTTCCAGATGAACTTTAAAGATAATTTATGCATGCATGTATACATGTATGAGTTGGGTGCTGGGTGTCCTCCTTATCACTCTCCACCTATTCCTTCGAGGCAGGATCTCTCCCTGAACCTGGTGCTCATGTTTTCTCAGCTAGGCTAGAAATCAACAAGTCTCAGTGATCCTCCTGTCTTCATTTTCTTAGGAGCAGGCATACACCTGATTTGCTATGTGGGTCCTGAGATCTGAACTCTGGGATTACTCATGAAGTCATCTCTCTAACCTCTCCAAGTAAACTTTAAAGTTAGTTTGTTAATTTCCAAACTTGGAATTTGGACTGAAATGGCATTGGTACAATTAATGTAGGAGGGATAGACATCTTTACAATACTGAGTCTCCTAGTCCATGAATGAAATGTTTGTCTGTGTCTTCTTTAATACCTTAATAAATTTTATTTTGTTTGAGACAGGTTCTCATATATCTCAGTGTGGCCTCAGAGTCTTTATGTAAGCCAAGAATAACTTTATACTCTAGATGCTCTTGCCTGCACCTCCCAGTGCTAAAATTGCAAATTTGCATTACCATGCCTGACATTTTCTCTTATTCTTAGAAACAAGGCTTCATGTAGCCCAGACTGGCCTCAAAGTCACTATGAAAACAAGGTTGGTTTTGAACTGATCCTTTTGTCTCCACCTTTCCAAATTCTGAGATCACAGGCATGAGCCACCACTCCCGGTTCAAAACTCCTCCTAAGGCCTCACACACGCTAGGCAAGCATTCTACCATTGAGCTACATCTCCAGCCTTGCTAGGCAAGCATTTTACCATTGAGCTACATCTCCAGCCTTGTTTCAATAAATTAGAAACCAGTTATCAATCCTGTAGTTTCAGGAGAGTCTATTTTTTTTTTCCATTATGAAAGAAGGTCTTTGTAGCCCAGGCTGGCCTGGACCTTACATATGTAAATTAGGTTAACCTTGAACTCCTGGAAATTTTCCTCTTTAGTTCACACTATATGGGGATTCAGATAGGTATCACAACCTGATTGACTGAATTATTTTTCCCAATGTAAGGAAGGGTGCCTGACAGATTCTCTATCTTCGTTAAGCCTATGTCTTACTCTTGGTTCTCTGGCATAATAGCAAATGCTTTCTTGGTAAGATGGGTTATTTGGTACTCCTAAGATTTTGCTTATGGCTCTGATGAAAGGTTCTCACAGAACAACTAGTTGCTGAGTTTCCAAGTACCCTTTGAGCTATTCAGTGCTTTCAAGCTTATTAAAACAAAATAAAACAAAACACCCCTTCATTTTTTTTTGCAGCATTTTTTCCCTGTGCAGCAAGAAGACTGATCTGGAGAGCCTAGACTTCAGCATTGCCGAGAAGTGAACCATCTTTTTCCACTGTGGCTTCTCCAGATTGCTGCAGAGGACTAAAAGCTCATAATTTACATAGCTGCACTAACTAAGTAGGAGGAAGCCTACTTACTGTTTTTCTTCCCTAAAATTTGTTTCCAATACAGTCTCCTATATTCCAGGATGGCCTCAAACTCTCTACAAAGCTAAAGATGACCTTGAGCTTCCGACCATCCCATCTAAGACTCCCAAGTGCTGATTACACGCCTGCACCACCACACCTGGTTTATTCTGTGCTGGGAATCAAACCCAGGGCTTCGTCACTCCAGCTACTATATCGCCAGCCCACACATGAGTATTCTGAACGAATGCTCATAATATATGACAGCTCTCTAGAAACATTTTATGGAATGGATTATTTCCAGCAGCAGCAGAAGACTTAGAAATTGCTTTCCTTCTGTTTATACTAAACTGTCTGCAGAAGAGCAGACTTACAGACAATGCCAGATGGCTGGCTGCTGCTTCTCCATGTGGAACATGATGGCACCTGAAGTCCTCATCCACTCCAACTTTCTAAACTCAAGAATAGTTTTGGGAAACATGAGGTAGTTGAAAGAGGCAATCAGGCCAAAGAGATTAACCAAGCAAACTCTAGTGAGAAGGACTGGTGAAAGAGCAGAGGTATTTATGGGCTTGATATTTTTGATTATTTTTAACTAAGTTCAAGTATTTTTGGGGGGTACAGGATAAGGGGGTGGCAGAATTCCAGCTTTTGGCAGTCTATGTTTTGTTACTGTTAGTATTCAGGCATCTGTATTGGCCTGCCCTTGGGGTTCTGACAGGTGACATCCTCAACTGCAGGTACATTCACTACATTCCCTTTTAAAAGGGCCCTGTACACCTCCTCCTCCTCTCTCTCTCTCTCTCTCTCTCTCTCTCTCTCTCTCTCTCTCTCTCTCTCTCTCTCTCTCTCCCCTTCTCTGTCTCTCCTTGTCCTTGTCCCTCCCTCCCTCCCTCCCCTGCTGCACCTGTACCCAGAGGCCATCTCTCTTCTCTCTTCCCCCCATTTTCCCATTCACTTTCCTCCAAATTAAAAAAAAATCCCTTCACCAAGCTCTGTTGCATGGCATGACACTTTTAAAAATTAAAACAGTTATACAAAAAATAAACCCAGGCATTAAATTACCTTTTTGGTACTAGATTTCTGGTACCAAATACTTGAGGGTAAGATTATGGACATTTAATAGATAATACACACCCTCTCTTCTCTCAGTTAAAAACAATGTCTAAAATGCCTGTCTGACTTCAGCCTGTTTCACAAGTTCAGCTTTCTAACAGAATAGGTCATCTTTCCCCCTCTCTGTCTCTTGTTCTGTGAATGGAACCCAGGGCATGCCGGGCAAGCATCTACTTCTGAGATAGAAAGACCATTCTTAAGCTTCTGATTGTCCTTTCTCCCAACAGTGGAACAGGTCATATCTTTAAATGCCCTGAGTGACACTGAGTCATGGCACTTGAAGATTTTTTTTTGCTGGTGTTGTAGGATGGTTACAAAATAATACAGAGGGACAAGAGGAAACCATACTTGGCAGAAAATGCCATTCTAAAAAGATTAGAACAGTTTGTAGGAGTTGAGGGCTCTGCCTAACTGATCTGAGGCTAGTCACTCAGCTTGTGTCTGAGCCTGCTTTCCTTACCCATGCGCACATCTAACCGGAAACAGTATCCGACTAGCAGCTGGGCATTGAGAATTCTTGAACAATTCAGTTTTGGATTTGATCTTTGATTGCAGGCAGTTGAATTTTATACAGTTAGCAAAGCAAAGGATTTATCAAGCAGGTTTTATAATACAAAGCATGAAATTGAGAACTGGAAGGGAGGGAATTGTCGCATCATGGAACAACAAAAACATACCATTCCTGAAGTTCAGGAGAAGGAATGAGACCTGCAGTTCCATTTTTGGAGTTTTCCAGTTTACCCTGCCACCAGTTGTGGTCATCCTTACTAATAATCTGAATGATGTCACCAACTCGGAATCGGATGCCAGCTTCTTTGCAGGGGATGAGGTCATCCTTGGCTGGATCATATTCAAATTGTGCTCTTACATAGATCTATAAAATAGGAGTTTGTAAGGAAGGAGGCCAGTGATGTGAAAGAAAACAACCACACACCCACATTTACAACACAAATAGGACATTAGAGGGTGAAACGATGTATGGAAATAGGATACAAGAAACAGGGTGCCACATCTAATGATTACAGCTTCAACTTTGCGATTTATATTTAAAAGGAACACTTAAAATATTTGTTGAATAAACGCTGCTTTTAGTAATAGGATAGGTATATAGTTATAGAGCAGTATGCTCACCAATTTCAAAACTTGCTACGACTATGGTGATGATATGGATATGTTGTCACGACCATGAGGCAGCCTTTAAGGCATGGAGACTGGCCCTCAGAGTGGGCTTTTTTCTTAAAGTAGCAAAAACTCTCTGGGTTGGTATCTTGCTGTTGGATGCTGTCATGACAACTGGAAGTGTGTCTATACACTGCAGACAAAGCTATATGCCTCAAACAATATTAAAAAGTTCAAAATACAGCTTTATTTCTTTACAGGAATTTTGGCTTTGTATTTGTGCTTTACTCTTGTGGGAAAATAAAGATGAATCAGAACCCTTGTTTTGCCAATGTACACTTGAAATCAGTACACAGAATCAAAGCATGCATGATTTAAGGACTTGAGCTTTACGGTGTGTGAATTTAGGAGACATAATAGCAGACAGGGTTATAACACAACAGCATTTTATGAATGACTGGAATTCTGAGTACTTTAAAATAAGGTACTATATCCAAGGTTGCCTGAGTTATTCAGTTCTGAGGCTAAACTGTGGGCATAGTCTACCAAATACTAATTTATACAATTCCTAACTTAAAATCAGATTTTATTTTTAGCATTACATTTCAAGAAAAAAAACCCACGATTCTATCTCTTGATATTAAGTTTGAATAGTTACATTTAAGTCACTGTAAAACCAACCTGAAAGCTTTGGAACTATTGTGTTATATCTCTATTTTAACACTCTACCCCTTAAAATGAACAGTTCTTTGCATTTGTACCTAAAATCCACACTGTAAAAGTGCTGGCTGTTTGAAAGGTACCTGCTGATGCTGCACAGCACTTAGCATTTCTAAACTAGCATAGGCATATCAGGCCAGGGTACTGATGCTGCTTTTCATTACGCATAGCTTTTAGACATACACAGGCAAATACAGACTTAATTTTAATTTAGCTTCAAGATCAGAAAAATCCCTTAAAATGTTCAATAAGGCATGACTTTAAATTTAGAATTCTATGAATTCTTTATGCACTAGAGGCAGGTAAGACTCTCTAAGGCCATCCTCCTTAACTGTGAGCAAAAAAAATGATCAGGTTGAAATTACAATAACCATCACAGCTACAGAGGTGTGAAGAAAAAAATCTTTATAGAGAATTAGTCATGTATAATGTGTTAAAATGAAATGGTACAAGCTTTCAATGCTCAAATGTTATGGTCCAAAATGCAGACATTATGGGATGGAAAGGGTTAATAAAGGATTGACTATTAGCTCGGTTTAGAGAAGTTTCTATAGAGGGTATCTATTCACCTGTCGTCCTTTTGGTTGGGTGGTTGACGGCAAGTCCTGTAGAATAAAGCCAACCCAGGAGAAAAAATTTTCATTTACTTGTCAAGAGTACAAAGTAATTTGTGTGTTTCTGTTACAATATGGTTAAAAATGAACTAGATTTAAGTTGTAAAGAGACCATATACATTATTACATTTCTCAGAAGTGTTGAGTTATATATATATATATAAAAAAATCAAACCCAGGCCATTTAGCAGCAAGCTGAAGAAAGCAGGTAAGTTGAAGCAGAGAGAAAATGTGTTCTTAAGAAACAACTCAGCATCTTCAACACAAAAGCCACTGCGGTTCAAACAGCCTATTATAAAACCCCTGAGCACAAAAAGAACGGTTGTCTGTTTCAACTTCATCACTGCAACCGTTTAGATTTTGAAAAATTTAATGGGTCTATGGCTTTTTACCATCTTAAAAGCATCACATGTTATTGTTAAAAAGGAATTCTTTGGGAGCCTAGGAACAATTTTCTTGCACAATTTTTCTTACTTAGATACTTGGAATATCATTCCATTTGAGATGATCTTTGAATGATTTATGACTTTATTTGATAAAAAGTCGATATATTCTTAAAGGGCAAATTAGAAGTCAGGACAGAAGGCAACACTGATGCATTACTAGAGCTCTCGTAATTGCAGCTGGCTGACAAGCAGCAGCAGCAGCAACTTAAGAGACTTGCTATCTCGAAAAATGGCAAACCTGCACATGTAAATGCTTCTGTTTGATTAAGCAATTCTTTCTATAATCCAGAACGGAAAGTTCTGAAAAAATGGCAACTTTCAAGTTCAAATCTAATATGTACTTTGTGTTAAAGATGTGATCCAGCGTGGCTTAAGTGCAGTTTGAAGCCAGTTCCTTTTGCTTTTCATATCCAGGCAAGGCTTATAATTCACAAAAATATGTGCACGAACCACAATAACAAGAGGGCACACCAATTCGTAAACTTAGATAGCGGAAACTACAACATGTTGCTGATATCCCTCAGAATGGAAAACTATAAAACCCAAGAACACCCAAATGCTTATTCTGCAAAATCCCTTGTATTTCTTCATCATTTTTAATTAAAAAATTCTTAAAGAAATTGAAATACAATTCTATTTATTCCTTTGAGCAGTCATACATACTGGTGGGGAGGCGGAGAGGTATTTTAGAGTAACTATAGAAGTCTTGAACTATGTTTCTTCAAGTGTAACTGATTTTTAAGGAGAAGGAAATGTTGAGGAAGGTTTTTCCAGGAGTACACTGCACTGCTGCTGCAGTAGCCTTGTATGCCTGCAGAAGACAATCTTTCCACTGAACACATGTAACTAAACACTCATGGCAGGTAAGCACCAACATAATCGTCACACTTGGCTGTGTGGAGCTAGAGTTCTTACCGAAACAGAATTGTTAGTGCTGCTATGACCATTAGCAGGGGACTGTCTGGAAGTGGAGGGGGAATCTCTCTGAAATAAGACACAAGGTTCATTAACACAGAACACCGGCACAGAAACAGGTATTTACATCAACAGTTACAACCACAGTCTCACAACCATTTCCTTTGAGGTTAATGCTATAAAAGGTGCCTTACTGACTTACTTGCATGATTTCACAGAAGTATGAAAAAACTTTTTTGTTGTTTGAAGATTCCCATATTATAAGTGAGGATGGTGTTACCATTCCCTAATGATTATTTTTCTCCTGTATCCTAAATTGTACAATCTTTACTTTTTTAGTTGGACCCCAGGAGAGTGATATTAAAATCCTACTAAATATCTCATGATGATATGATGATAAATATTATCATATTATTGTGCTAAAGATCTCAACTGCCTAGTTTTATATTAAAGAATAGGTTAAAGAATAGGATTGAGAAGTAGGCAACGGTTTTTAGGTACCCACTGTCAAGAACTACCAAGTAACTAAATTGAGAGTAAATGAGCCTAAGAGAAGGACTTCACATGTAATCAATTTAGACTTTTCTAGAATAAATATTACTAATGGGGGTAAAAGAGAAAGCTGCATCAGAGAATAGCTCTCTTCCTTTGTATTATTTTAGCAGACTGAGTAAAATAGTAACTCCAAGCAACAATGTTCTACTTCTGGCCAAATTCCTAGGAGCCACAGCACTCTTCCTAGAGCCACCACACTCTTTAGATCTCTCTGCTGTTCAACCTACTCAGAATTCTTTGCAGGTTCTATTCCTCAGTGATCAAATCAACTTTAATGAAAAGCACCAAGAGAAGAAGAAAATAGGGCTTTAAAAACCTAATTTTTAGAGTTCTTTATAAACTTTGACTCAAAAGATATATTTTTCTAGAATATTGAGAGAAAACTTCTGGAATTTGTTAGCCTGAAATTGAATGAGATTCTTTAGAGGAACATTCTCATATAATATTGAGTGGTTTGCTCTCTATTTGTCACCCTTGGGGATTCAAGTTAGTAGGGTTAGGATACAGAGGAAGTATGAGCCTTCATTTTAGATGCCCTGCCATAGGTAGAAGAGGTCAAGCCCAGGTGGCTTAAAATAACAACCAAGAACCAATGTTGGAGGTGAGTAGAAAGAGAGAAGGGAGTCATTACTTTCCCTCTAATATTCAAAGGTGTAGATTTTATATGTATAATACTTGTGTCTCCCTTAAACTAGCCCAACCACCTTGAAAAAAAAAAGAGAGAAACTTGTATTAATAACTAACAATATCTTCTGGTTAGCACCCTCCCATCCAATCTATTTATTCAATTTCATCAACACATGAGAAATGTTGTGAGGAGCACCTATGGTTTTAGAGTATTTAAATTATCTATAAAGATGTATGCATGCTATTCTCTCTTTCCCTGAACTCTAAGTAACGAAATTTAATGCTCTGAATCTTGAAGCTGGAAAAGTTCTGCAAAGTTTTGAAATATATTATTAATTGACATTCCATAGGAAGCCACCAAGAGGAGCTCAAGACCCAACAAAATAGACATTTTAATTGTCACTGACTCACTAAAAACCTGAAAAAGCACAGATTCTTATACATATGTTGAATAGGCTTAGATGAATTATTTTCTTATGAGATGTGTAGCATCATTATAGACTTGAAAAGTATAATTTCTATTTCAAATTTTCTTAAGCAAAAATCTAGTAATTTTGCTACCAGACCTTAAAAATTACCTTTAGAAAATGTGCACTTCATATCTATTTATTTGCAGTGATGGGAATTGAACCCAGGGCCTCATACATGCTAGGCATTCTACCACTGAGCTATATCCCCAGCTCTTATACTTCATAATAACATGCTTGGAAGATCCACAGGAAAAATTTAAAATAAGCTTCAATAAATAATACCTGAGCTGAATGTGCTATAACCAAAGAATGATATTGTTATGATAATTTGTGCCTCTCAATATAGAAAGAATAGATTTTTGACTATAATGAACAACATAAAACTGAAAAAAATGTAAGTTGAAAGAGTTCTAATTGCTAGCTCTAATTGCTTTAAGAAACTTTGGGGTTGTTATTCTACAAAAGGTATTTGTTTATGAGTCATTTGATATGTCAAATATGCAGACTTTTGCAAAAGGTTGCAAGAGCCCTGCATCCCTGCCGTGAAGTCAGTTACCAATTCATCAGGGTCTTAATGTTCATCTTGAGACCTGCCAGTCATTCAAACATCAGTATCTCAGCAGAAGTTGATCACTCCTCAGATTCTTGGAAAGAAGAACTACCTATGAAATTTCTTAGCAAGGGAAGTGCGTGGACTTCCTGGAAACACTGCTGTATTTTTTGACTCAGGGATTTCATTTTTTTTTCTTTATCAAGTTTCATGTTATTGCAGCTTTCCTATATTTGTCTTAGATTTGGCTGCGGAAAGGCTGAAGATATCTGCATGGAATTGGGGCGGAGGAGGTGGGTGGGACCTCCTCTGTTCCGTTATCTTCGTTGTAAAATTGGTGTGCAGTGATCTAACAGCACAGGCAGAAACAATTTCCCAGAAAGCAAAAACATTCAGCCATCAGCAGACAGTCAGTTAAGAACTCAGAGGAGATGGGGGCGGGGCTCGTTAGAGTTATTACCTCACAGGATGAAGACTGAGTGCGGTAACTTGGAACAATCTTGAAGGTAATACTCCCCCGCATTTCCCTCTGTGGAGGCAAAAGAGGAGAGCTCTCATGCAAACACATGATACAAACACAACGCAGGCATAACCATTCAAAACGCATGGGTGCAATTAGTACGCACCACCTGACAGCACACAGCCCTAAACTAAAACCTCACTATAAGGCAGGGACCACTCAGGTTAGAAGTTTCTGGGAAAGGGCCAATGAAGTCTTGTACAGTATTGAATATTCTTATAGATCTCTGACAGTTATTTTTTTGTAGACATGAAATACAAGAGTTGAAATGACATACCTTACGAAAATGAACTAAACAAGAGACTAAGTAATTACATAAAAATCCTATCTAATATGCTACTGTCTGATGCTATCTCTGTACAATTGCTCTTATACTTTATTAACTTTGGACTCTTTTTTATTACAGCAAGTCTTGCATGCTTACTTCATGCCTAATCGGTATTCATTACATGGGAAGCTGCTGCCCTGAGCAGGAGGGACCCAGGGCATGAAACAAACGTTTCCCCCTGTTTGCTACAACAAGCAACACAGGTGGGGGTATGCCAATGGGTGCCAATGCTCTTTATTGAAGGCTTAACTTCAGTAGAGATTTTTTTTCAAGTATAGTCAATAATGGCCTGGCCTACAATGACTTTGCACCCCCTTGTGTTGTAGAGAGATACACTACAGCTGGCCATGACTCAGCTAAACAGGAAAGAGGTTTCTGATGCCGCTATGTCTGGAGCCTTTTGAGGTCCATGAGAAACTAGTTCGCACCAGTACATATCGGGAAGGTTTTGCTGTAAATATCTGGTTGGTGAGAATCAGATGACGGGTGAGCAGTGTGAAAGGACCACACTGCTAAAGGCAGATAAAATGGTTCCAAACTCACTGCAATGAAAACATTTTCCTAGTTGTCAGGTTTTTTTTTTTTTTTTGTGTGTGTGTGTGTGTTTGTTTCTCGAGACAGGATTTCTCTGTATTGTTTTGGAGGCTGTCCTGGAACTCGCTCTGTAGACCAGGCTGGCCTCAAACTCCCAGAGATCCTCCTGCCTCTGCCTCCTGAGTGCTGGGATTAAAGGTGTTCGCCACCAACGCCCGGCTGGTTGTCAGTTTTTAATGAACATGTTACAAATTCAACTTCATGTACATGATGGTATAAGAAGCGTTCTGATTATGACTGAAGAACAGTGTGTGTTTTTAAGTATCTATTTAGTGTGTGTGTAAGGTATGAGTAGGAATATGGTTGTTGTACTGCGTTCAATGTACGTACATGTGGGTATGAGTGCCAGCACCTGTGTGCATATGCTCGCACATGCCAGAGCATGTTAAGCAGTCTACTCTATTACTGTCCACCATATTTCTTTGAGACAGGATCTCTCACTGAACCTGGATCCAGGCTGGTGGTTAGCAAGCCCCAGCCACCCTCATGTCTCCACCAGATACAATGCTGGGGCTATAGGTAGATGAGACCATGCCCTGCTTGGGTGTGACAGCCAAACTCAGGTACTCTCACAAGTGCTTTTACCCACTGAGGCATCTCTCCATCCCCTATATTATGTATGCTTTTACAAAGTAAGTTAATAGAGCTATCAAGAAGGCTCAGCAACAGAGAAGACTGATAGACATGCTATCATGGAAGGGAAAAATTTCATGGGTGTTAGCGGATATTCAATCACACTGTGCACGCTGAGTTTGCATTGCACTAATTAATTAAGTAAAATGAACCTTGGGTCAGGAGGCTGAGTTTAGCAACTAGAGGGCGCCTGGAAGAGAGAGATATGCACTGGAAGGAGCAGGGAGGGATTTAGAGTGGTGTAGAGTTTTTTGTTTGTTTGGCAGATGCCAGCAAGGAGAGAAGGTTATCAAGGTGCTATTCAACCTCTCTGAGCTAGCAGGTTTTCACTCCAGCCTTTGAATCTTGAGTCTTATTTATAAACATAACTATAGATTTAGGTAAAGCTACCTTTAGTGGCAGCAACAGAGCCCTTGCCTGCGGGAACAGAATTCTCACCAGGCTGAAGCCTGAGCAGCTGGGCCTCTGCCAGAGGAACAGGCTAGTAACTGTGGAGTCACAATTGCTGGCTGAAATAGCAGAAGATTAAGGTGCAGGAACTGTGCTGAAGTTAAGAACAACACATGGGACTCCACTCCTAGACAAAGAACTACAGGGAACTAAGGACTGTTGAGAGGGAGAATTAGTCATTCGTAGGGGTGAGTCTCCCAATTGGTCATCCAATTCTAAGTGGTTAGCTCTGAAAGCATGTACATACAGTTAACATTTAATGCACTCAGCAAGTTGTATTTATATATGTAAATATTTACACATATATAATAACAGAGAAAAAGAGTCCATTCGTGAGAGGGATTGAGAGAATGGTCTACAGAAGGGGTTGGAGGGAGGAAAGGGAAGGAGAGAAATGCTGTAATTATATTTTAATTAAAAACACACTAATTAAAAACAAGATGGCTCAGCATGTAAAAGCACTTGCCACAAAGCTTGATGACCTCAGTTCTACCCCAGAGCTCATAAGGAGGAAGCAGAGAACCAGTTCCTTTAAGCTGTCCTCTGAACTCTACATAAGTAGAGGCATGTGTGCAACCACACTCACATACAGACACGTAATAAATAAATGCAATAGAAATCAGAATTTAAGCTAATGAGCTAACAGTTAATCATAGAAAAGGGAAAACTCATTTACTTACAAGCATTTTTTGTAGCTGTTCCACTGTTTGATTAGCGACACTGATGCCATTGATTTCTCGAATTTCATCACCAACATGAAGAGTACCTACAAAAATCATACACAATTATAAAAGTGAAATGAGTAAATATTTTTATAATAATGAAAAGGCAAATGTATCAATGTAATAAAAATAAGTTACACATCTAAAGCTAATTTTCAGAGGCAGGACCACATTTGGTTGTAGAATTATTTAACTTTTATGTAGTAAAACCATCCAAACAGACAGATCTACTTTCAGAAAGCACAGTTTTGATAGATGGCCATAGAAATTTGTTGACAACCCAATAAGAGACTATCAGGTATGAGCAGACAGAACTGAAAATAAGACAAATAACTAGTACTTCTAAAACAAAAACATAAATGATGATATAAGTTAATAAATGAATAAGTTGAACAAGATTTCAGACATGGCTAAGGAGAATTTCAGTGAACTTGAAGATATAAGATTATATATAATATAGGTCATAGAAATAAAGACACAAGGAAAAGAGGAAACAAGAATAAAAAGCTATGGAATGAATATAGGAGTGTTTAATGTACATCTAAGTGAAATTCAGAAAGCACAGAGAGAATGAAGAGGCAATGTTTGGGCAGTTGAACATTTTCTTGAACTGATGAAAGTGTTACCATACAGATCCAGGAAGAATAAGATAAATAAAAAAAATCTGGGCCAGCAGTAACAGGCTCTTGTCACCAGTTCTGACAATCTGAGTTCAATCCCTGGAACCCACATGGTGGAAGGAGAACTGACTCCCACAAATTGTCCTGTGACCTCTACATACATACTACGGCATGTATATGTGTGAATGTATGTGTGCATGCATGTGTGCACCTGTGAGCGGGCACACACACACACACAATAAATAAATAAATAAGCACAATAAAGATATTGTTTAACTTGAATATATGGAAAGTTTAAAATTTCAAGGTAACCACTAATATCACAGAAATAGGGTACTGAAATTAAAAGCTAGTAATTAGGGAGTAATGAAACAAACAAACAAACAAACAAAAAATCTCCAAAAAATGAACAAGGAAAGCAAGATAGTAGAATCATCACAACAAATATTAATGAACTACTCTATCAAAAATAGTGATCAAAACTGGCCACAGTAGTGCATAGCCTTAATCTCAGTGCTCAGAGGGTGGAGTGAGGAGGATTACAAGTTTAAAGTCATCCTTGGCTACATAATGAGCTTGAGGTCCATGTACCTAATTCCTCCAGAGAGATTTATAAGTAGACACTGAAATACTCTACTACTATAAATGGTATTTAAATATTGGTGGGGCAGGCATACAAAAATCAATCAACATAGAAGATTTAAACAAAAACATTAGCAACACCAAACCAATCATTATATAGGGAACTATGTATGCAGCAGTTAAAAAATAAAGGTTCTTCAGAAATACAGATTCACAAAAATGATTAATGTGCTATGCAATTAGGAAAGTCTTAACAAACTTCTGAGAAATGGTGTCATACAAACCACACTCTCTGACCACAGCATAATCGAGTTAGCAGTAAATTACAGAAAGATGTCTAAAAAATCTCTTCAAATATGATAAAAATACTAAATCATGAATGGGCCAATGAAAAATTACAATAGGAATGTAAGAACACTGACAAAAAATCGTGTATCAAAACTGGTGGGATACAGATAAAATTGTACTTTGAGTTTTCATTTTACTTTACTTCGTTTCCAGTGGTGGGGATGGAACTTAGGAACATGGTCTACAATGACTGAAACTCAAAGACAAAGAGCTTTTTTATGTAAACCATAAAGAGAAAACAAAACGATCCCTCCCACTTCTAGCAGTTGGTATAGGAAGAATTAAGGATGGTAAAGAAAGAATTACAGATGGAGCTCACCTTGCCTGTGAATCATACCCCCATGCATGATTCTTGCAACAATACAATGATTCAGCTCATTCATTTTCAAAGTGATTCCCTATTTAAAAAAAAAGGGGGGGAAAGGTTGGTAAGGGTACAATTAAGCGAAAACACTATATTTGTGATTTTACTGTAATTTTAATGAGAAGAGTTATAAAATTGTTAGACAATACATAGAAAATGAAGATACTCTATTACTTTACACACAAAATTGTTTTATGATATAAATGCTACTTGTTGGTGTATTCATTGCTATAATAGCATGCATCCATTTTATATAGTGCTTTTTAATCTTTTGATTATGATTATTTTTTACATCACTCTATTTTTTATCTTGCCAACTATTTAAAAACAAAAAAGGATTTTGCTCCTGCCAAGGGTATATACTTTCTATTAGGGTATCCCTTATATTTCTTTCAAAAAATAACAGTTTTATTTTATAACCCACATAAACTACTTCAAACTATAAAATTTGCTAAGTTTAACATGTGTGGACATGTGTGAATCTTTATTACAATCAGATGGTGACTGTGTCTTTTTTCCTTTCTAGATTTTTTTAAAAATTTAAGTTAGAAACAATCTTATTTTACATATCAATCCCAGTTCCCTCTCTCTCTCCCATCCTCCCATGCTCCCCACCAAACGTCCATCTCAGGGAGTCCCCAGGGAGGGTGAGTCCTTCCATGGGGGATCATCAAAGTCTGGCTGACTATGTTATCTCCAAAAGATTTTTCTTATTTGTTGGTCATCTACTCCCATTGCTCTATGCTCTCCACTCATGCCCAAACACCTACTGATGGGCCTTCCTTGACTATAGCTAAGTTTGTATTATCCAGAAATGGACCACATTCATTTTGGTTGCTTTAACTTATAATTATTTTTAACTTATTTTTTGTCCTTGTTGAACAGTATTGCATTGTTCAGATACAACTCACTCATCCATTTCTCCACTGCACTGCTTACAGTTTTGGCAGTTATAAATAAAGCAGCAATTCGGGCTTAATCTCCATTTATGACATTTTTTTTTAAGATTTGGGACATTTCATGTATTTGTGCATCATCTTTCTACAGACACCAGGATAACTTTTTCTGGGTTAATATTTTAGTATAGACACTGTTGAAATGAGAATATACTAGTGTTTTCATATTTTGCCAATTTGCTTTGCTAACATTAAGTTTAGACATTATTGTCTGGTTTTATAGGGTAGCACTGGCTTTATAGAATGAGTTGGGAAAAACTTCCTTTTCATTGTTTTGGGAAAAGTCCATGCAGAATTATCTGCATGGGGTAAACAGATGTTTGTTTACCTCTCCTCAGGAAACATTAATGCAATAGCCATTTTTTTCATGCCCAATCTGATCTCCTGCTTGACTGATGCTGTTGAGTTTCTGTTTTCTATTCCACTGATTTCTACTTTTTTTTTTCAGTACCGATGATTGAATTCAGGGCCTCAGAGATACTAAGGCAACACTTTACCACTGTGATAAATCACCATCTCATTTGTTTCTATTGATTTTTATTATGTCTTCTACTTATTTTGTCTTTCATTTATTCTCATTTGTCTTTTTTTAAAGGTGGAGATCTGATACAAGGTTATTGACATGAGACATTTTTTGTTCTTTAATATATATTAAATTTTAGAAATATAGTGTGTTACATATTTCTCCTTATTAAGTACTATTCCAGCTACATCACACAAAATTTGATACAGTATAGTTAATTTTCATTAATTGCAAAATGCTGTTTATCTTCTGATTTCTTCTTTTATCTACGGGTTAATTCAAATTGTGTTACTTAGTTTTCAAGTATATGAGATATTTTCTTTCTTAAATTTTCTTTTTACTTTTTACTTATTTTTGAGATAGTCTTGCTAACCTCGAATTCACAATCTTCCTGACTCTGCCTCTAGAGCACTGGGATTAAAGATGTGCCAACCTCTGCTTTTTAATTGGGGAATTTAGACTACTAATATTTAGTATGATTGTTAACATAGTTTGATATAAATATATCTTCTTGTTGTGTTCACTTTTAATCTCTTTTTTCTGTGTTTTTGTGGATTTATTCTCATTTTGTTGTACCTTATGGTACGTTTTGGGTCTGCTGACAAGTCCTAATGATGCTTCTCTGTCCTTCATCTCCAGTGCTGCAGTTATGAGCACATATGAGTTTTTACATAAGTGCTGGGTCCCAACTCAGCAAGCTCTCTTACCCACTGAGTCGTCTCTTCAGTCTTCCCCAATCCAAATTATCCGCAACCCTTCATGTTGCTGCTTGAGCAGCTGCATTTGGCTTTATTATAGCATATGCATTTACCCTGCCAAATTGTCTTTGAGTGACACTATACTACTGCATTTATGAGAACTTTCTGATAGCACACAGCCATTTCTTTCTACTTGACCTTTTGTTTTACCCTTGTAGTCATTCTCCATGCTGTACACCCTAATGCAAAGTATCTTTGAAAGACATTTAAGAGATAAGGAAAAAAGTTACAGTCTTTTAGGTTTGGTGTGTCCACAGATGCTTATATCTGACCCATTTTTGAAAGACACCTTTGGTCTCCCTGGGTTCTTAGCTCTGCTCCTCAGTCTAGGAACTCTGCCCGTTTTGCTTCACAACTCCATTCCCATGCACTGGGAAGTAAGATGGGCAATTACAGGTGCTACTGCCTTTGCATCCTCCCTCTCTCTCAGAGATCTCTGTCCTTTGTTGCTTCATGTCCAATATCTCAAAAACAATTTTCATGTGTAATTTAATATTTGTCATAATTTCATCCATTTCAGATGAGAGGGCCAGAAGTCTAACTTTTTTTTTTGGTTTTTCGAGACAGGGTTTCTCTGTATTGTTTTTTGGACCATGTCCTGGAACTCGCTCGGTAGACCAGGCTGGTCTTGAACTCACAGAGATCCGCCTGCCTCTGCCTCCCGAGTGCTGGGATTAAAGGCGAGCGCCACCACCGCCCAGCTCAGAAGTCTAACTTTTGTAGTTATATTTAAAGCCATTTTTACATTTTGTTTTTCAAATATTCCCTGTTAAAAGACAACTTTTCATGAACATATTTTTGCAGTAGACCTGGTTGGTCCTAAGAATCACACAGGGAGCTGTTAATAATGCTGACTCTTAAACACACTCTTTAGATTTATATTCATGGGGACAGGAGTGGAGCCCAGAATTATGTACCTTTTAACAAGGTCACTTTATAGGAAGGTGGTCTTGAATTTGAAGTGGTTACTAGTAGGCATTCAATTATTCCTCTTTGGAGAATAAAATTCTGTCAGAAAACTTCATGGAATTAGCTGAGAATTTATATTCTAGCTTAATTTGAACCATGCCACAACTTATATTTTTGCATGGTTCCTATTTTGAAGCTCTCAGAAGGATTAGGCAAGTACTGTGAAAAGTATAGTTTTCAAAAATGATTTTGATCCTAACATTCAATTGTAATGCTCAGGTTTCATTTCCAATTTGTACATTCAATCAGCATGTATGCTTACTTAGAGTAGTGTTCTGGAAAATGTCATAAATGAATGCATACGTCAAACTGAGTTTCATAAGGGAAATGATGGCATACCAGAGATCCCACGCTTAAAGCTACTAGGTTTTTATATTAAGTCAACTAACATAAATTGTAACCTACTATGTTGTGGACACCCTTTTAGGCACAGTAGTAAATTATAGTCAATGTTTTTCATTCTGTCTGCCCCCAAATTTCTCTGCAGAGAAGAACTGGCTCTTGTTCTTTCTGTTCCCAAGGTCACAAACTCCACTTATCAAAGCTTGAGGAATTGGGGGGTGGCATATATTCCTGGTCTTTCATTGCTTACACAAGCAAGCCTTTCCCCTCTTGGGTAAGCTAGTTCAAGTATGGTATTTGTCATTTCTAACTAGGGAAACAACTGTGAGCACACTGTTACAAACTGGAAAAATACAGGGTATAAAGGAAGTGTATCACCCTTAGGGAATGCATGCCTTCTAAAGGGTCTCCAGGCAGAAGAGGTCATGTAGATAGAATCTTCAGAGTCATTCAGAGCTATGAAGAAGACAACTGAATAGACGACCAGCCATAGTGGTTGCAGTAGAGTTATATTTAGTTATATTCTGTCACTGTTAATAGACCATCCATGGCCACCCTTCTCCCCCTCCTTGTGTAGCAGTCTGTACAGGTTGAAGTTAGCTGATTATATAACTCAAGCTTTTCCTACTTACCATTGGTTCATCTGTGTTCTTTTGGAACTGTACCAGCCGAACTCTGGTCACATTTTCCATGTCCATGTCTCCGTTGGCGCTTTCTGGAGAATCACCATTTAAATAGGGAGAGGTCGGGGGAGGTGTGACCCTTAATGCTTCATCACTGTAAACTTCATGTGCCACTACGTCGTGAGTCTGAAGTAAGGCCTGGCATTTTTATGAAAGTAGAAACATATTAGCTGTAGTACCATCCTAGCAGAAATCTGCTACATAAACATATATAATATCATACAACTGAATGGACAACTATGTAGTGACATTCATGGTGTCTACCATAAAATTTTTATATAGCCCAAAGGATGAAGGTAATTTATAACATGATTTAGGAATTCAAATTAAACTGTATAGATGTACTTAAGACACCAATTTTCTAAAATATAACACATATAGAACTCAAAATTGAAAGTTTAAGATTTTTTACAAATTTGCATATGAGTATGCACACGCGTGTGAGTACACACATGTGCTATGGTGTTCGTGAGGAGATGAGAGGACAACCCGTGGGAGTTTTCTATTTCTACCATGTGCGTCATAGGGATCGAACTCAAGTTGTTAGGTCTGGTGAAAAGTGCCTTTACTTGATGAGCCATCATGTCTGACATGCAAACATTTGACATGCTTTGTTCACTTTTGTTTTTTGGAGCTCTTGGGTAAATCTGATAATTATTATTATTACTATTATTATTATTATTATTTGGAGATAGGGTCTCATGTATTCTGGGTCAGCCTTGAATTCACTAAGTAGGAAAGGATGACCTTGAGCTTCTGTTTCTGCCTCCCAAGTTCCAGAATCCCAGGGGTGCATCAGCATCCTCGGTTCAGTGCTGGGGATGTAACCCAGGGCTTTGTGAATTCTAGAGAAGCACTCTACCGACTGAGGCACACCCACACCCCTAGGTTCACAATGATTACTTATTCATTTTGCAAAACTCACTAACAAAGACAATTGATTTCCTTGACATCTGTATGCCATCTTGGTGAACTTTGATGCTAAATCTCTTTTGTTTCTCTAAAACAGACATCTTCCTGCTTTGTCCCATCATAAACCCTTTTTTAATAAACATGAGAAATTTAGCTCAAAGAGAATTTACAACTGACTATTGTTGGTCTGTTGGAAACTTTATACAGATATACTACTATATATTAGTGTGCATGCTAACTCTAAATTTAGTTTCATTTTCATCTGTAATATGTGTGGTAATGAGGTATGTTAGGATAGCAAAATGCAATTAAATAGTATTTCACTATCTGAAATCACTTCCTAAAAGGCTCACCAGAGCCATGCTTAGCTATTTTAAAGTCATGCATACAGGGCAAAAATAAGGTAGCGATGTTAAAACCAGAAAGGAGATGGTGCTGACTTGTCAGCAATAGGTGCTCAGAGTAATACATTTATTCTATTTCTAATGGAAATGGTCCATACTGCCACAACCCCAGGCTGCTGTTCTCAACTACAGGTTTAGGTGAAGGTTACTGAAAGGCACTGACAACGCACAGCCTTCACGGAGAGCTCCTCAGGGCCCGGGAACTGTGGCTACCAAGTGTGGAGGTTGGACCACGTAGGCAAATCCTTTCTGTGCTTTAATGGTAGCCACCAAAGAAGCTAAGATTTAGAGAGGCAAAATCAGGAAGGGGCCAACTAGTGAAATTCATCTGTTAAGATCAGGTTCATCATATCAAGTACAGAGGTGTCTTTTATGACTCATGATACTTTGACACGTAAACACAGGCAAGCTTTCATGGGGATAAGGTCAGCCCTGAAGTCCCATGAATTGGATAAAATGTTTATGTCACTTCCTGTAGATTATTTCCATTCATCCTTTCAAGTTTTATAAATAGGCTTGCATTTAATGTATTATTTATAAGGAAGAATAGGCCCTCAATCATAAAGCAGCATCAACCTTAACTTTTAAAAAGTTTAAATTTTATTGTCAACTAAAGTCACACTTGATATTAACCAGAATTTGCTGCTGTTAATGGCAAAATAACACTAAATCCTCAGCTCTACTTCACATGCAAACAGAAAAGGGAAATATGTACAGAATGCTCAGAATAAGGTTTAAAAAGAAAAGAATATATAAGATAAAAATAAGGAAACCAAAGTGAATATTTTCCTTTAGATGTCTTACAGGGTAGGACTGAGCAATTAGTACTAGGCTGAAGTAGCTGGCAGTTTGTTTATTTGTTTGTTTCTAGACACAGTCTTGCTATATAAACAGCAAGACTAGAATTTCACCCCTCCTGTCTCACCATCCTGAGTGCTGGACAGCAGGTTTGGGCTGCCATACAGCGCTTAAATTTATCCTAATTTTTTCTCCCGTAAATTATGTTTTCTGTGTATGCACATGTGTTAGCACCCATGAATATGCTGGCTATGGCACATGTGTGGAGGACAGCTTGCAGGAGTCTGTATTCTCTTTCCATCATGTGGGTTCCAGGAATTGAACTCAGGTTACCAGGCTTTACCTGCCAGGCCATCTCACTGGCCCCTTCATTTTCTCTCCTTTAAGTTACTGCAAATGTTTTCAAAATGTCTGCTTTAAGTACTTGGTAACTGAAAGTTAAAAGCTCTGGTTATAATGATTAGAAATCAAAGTTGAGATAACTGAGCAAATTAAGTATAAAATATCAAATATTCTAAAAACAACACTGGAACTTTGATAAAACAAAAATATTACATTTATTAAAATATTTCTACATAGCTGTTATTACTTTTAAAAACCCAGGGTTTTAAAAATCATTATTAAAATATGTATATGACAAGTCGGGCGGTGGTGGCGCACACCTTTAATCCCAGCACTTGGGAGGCAGAGGCAGGCGGATCTCTGTAGTTCGAGGCCAGGCTGGACCGACAGCCTCCAAAACAATACAGAGAAACCCTGTCTCGTAAAAACCAAAAAAAAAAATGCATATGACAAAACTTTAGTACTTAAAAGCTTATTTAATATATATTTTAGAATCTTATTTCTTACAAGGGACATTATCCATATGTATGTTTATTCAAGAATTATCAATAAGCTTAATATAAGCTTATGGGGAAATTCATTAGCATTACAAACAGTCTGCTTTTTAAGAGCCTGGGCTTTGAAGCCAGTAGATCTGGCTTGAACCCAGGTTGGCCATTTTACAAGTGTTTACCTCACAGGACAATTTGTACTAATGAGGATAGTCACACATCCCAATTATGATCAAGTCATGTTTCCTACTGCTTCCAACACAGAACCTCATTCTGCCACTATCCCCATCTTTCTGTAAGCCTCTATGATTTCTTTCAATGTCTTCTAACTGGTCTCTCTGCTGCAGTCTGTTCACAACATAGGAACTTCAGAATTTTCCCCCCTTCCTTTGAGACAGGGTCTTGCTTTGTAGCCCTGGCTGGCCTGATACCCACTATATACCTCAGGTTAGACCCAGACTTGTGTTATTTCTCCTACCTATCAAGTGCTGTGATGACAGGAATGTGCTACTATGCCCAGGAAAAACCTTGAAAGCATGGATTGGATCATATTTTCTTGCTTGCAATCACTCTTTAACTAGGAGAAAACTGTGGACTCTACTATGGTCTGACCTCTGCTAAGCTTTGTAAGCATTTCTATACCACATTCTGCCCTTTTACTAAATCCCATCTTTAATGGATTTAGTTGCACTCCTTAAACCTACACAACTTCCTTCTGCTTTTTCCTCCTGTTTGAACTTTCAGGGGGGCAGCTCTTCCTTTAACAAGTCTTCACTTAGCTAACTCTTCCGAAGGGCTTCCCCCGAGGATATAATATAGCTCACACTTTATTATTATCACTGTACTACAATCTCTCCTTCATAGTTATTATCACTGTATGAAATTACCATGTTATTTGATGTGTTCAGTTTGTTTCTAATCACCTGCCCACCCTATCCTGCAGCCTCACTGAAATGGGAAATTCCATGAGGGCTGGAACTATGTTTTTCCTATTCAAAACTAGATCCCTAGGGGCTAGCATAGAATACCTGGAGCACAGTAGGGACTTAGATATTTGATAAATGAAGAAAGATGTCTTTTAAGCACAAAGCTAGATATTCAAAGAATTTGGGGAATTATTATCTCTGAAAATGTTTATTGATAGGGACACATACACACACACACTCACTCACACACACACACACCATTCTCTCTGCAAAATAGATCAAGGCTTGGAAGGTAGGTAAGCTGTGAGGAACTGGTCTATATAGGCTCTAATGATTTTCTGGGAAAAAACTTATCCTTTAAAATGGTCTTATTTGGGAATATACTAATTTATTTATGTAGTCTCCTTCAAATCTGAGAGATTTATTAGTCTGAAATGATCCTCTATAATTCTATGAAGTGAGCTCAGGTTAAAGAATCAGATAGGTTTGTTTAAAAATGTGGAGAACACACTGCCCAGAGCAGTGAGTGGTGAAGTGAGCACTTGCGAACGGGGCCAGTTACTGTTGTGCTCAGGGTTTTACTGAGAATGTATGACAGCTACTGTGGGGAAACTAATAATCCTTATTAGCTAACACTGATGAGACAGAAAGCAGGCTAATAACAGTAGACATATCTATTTAGTTCTTACTTCAACTAAAAGAGGTTGAGCTCACATCAGCAAGGATGGAGTTTAACCTCAGGCCTGCCTGAGTTTAGAGCTTTAATCACACTGGGGAGACATGGACCCAATACATGCAATATCAGTGAACAAGATGATCTCAAGGGTAACTAACTCTTTTTGTGATTGTTCAAGTTTGATGATACTAATAGGTCACCAAATCCTTTCATGTTCCTGCTTTGGTATACAGAGGACAATGACTAAATGAGACCACAAGCTCACAGAGTTAAGCTGAGTCTAGGACAGACATAGGAGAATTGCTGAGGCCCATTCTCCAGGGAAAGGGCCTGCTTCAGCAGGTCAGCGTGGATTAGAGTGTTACACATAGGAATAGAAAGTGGAAAACAGAAGGTTAACACAGAGTTAGAGTAATTAGGAATGACTTCAATAGTAAAGGTGGAAAAAGTTCTACAATGACACACTTCAGCTGTAAAAGTAGGCTCACCCAGACACAGAACTGTATTTCTAATTCAGTACAATCAGAATGGAGTTAAACACTCTCAGAGATGTGTTTGAGTTCGGCCATTAAAGCCTAGAGAAATTAGGTAGGGGATACAGGAAATTGCTTCTTTCAAGATGGTTATTTTGAAGGACAATGTTAAAGTTTTAGAAATATTACATGTACAATGAAATAGCATATATGTCAAAACTCACAGGTATGGAGATGTTATACTGTAACTATTATTTTTAAATTAGCATTTGAAATAAATAATTGCAGTAAGACCAACAAGGTTTTAAAGTTGTATTTTCACCCAGAGGGCAGTTGCCTGGATTTTCAATTCTTTGCATATATTCCATATCTACAGCTGTGACTGTTTAGAAATGTTATACTCAGCATGAATTACCATCTGTAATTGTGCTTTTTTTTAGAAAAAAAGATCTGTATTATTTTTACTTATTAGCCTGTGTGTATACACCTTTGTGTAGATGACCTTGGAGGCCAGAAGACGTTGGATCCCCCAGAGCTGGAGTTACAGCAGTTATGAGTCTCTTGATGTGGGTGTTGAGAACTGAACTTGGGTCCTTTGGAAGAGCAGCAAGCACTAGCAAACACAGAGCCATCTTGCCAACCCCTGTAATTCTACTTTTGAAATGCAGGTAAGTAGATAGCTATGAGCTTTTTTTCTACAAAAAGTTTCTTAGTTATTTCAAATTTTAATTATTGGCTAAATGCAAGTGTTATTCCCATCTTTCACAGGAGCCAATGAAAAATGTATATGAGTTCTGCACTATCTAAAACAAGACACCTTGAGTTTAGTTCCTGGAACCATGTGATGGAAGGAAGACTCTTTCAACTTGTTCTCTGATCTCCATGCATGCATTGCGGCACATGTGCCACCACAAAAGCCAAAGCCAGTTTTCATTGAAAATTGTCCTCAATTACAGCTGCCTGTGGTTTAGGCAGCGGAGCGTTCCAGTGAGTGATATAAGAATTGGAAGGAAGCAGATTCCCATTTGAGGCATACATAGTCCTTGAAGAGCCACTTTTACAACTGTGATACAAGGTCAACAAAGACAATAAAGTCAAAGTATTTGTTATTATCTGGGATTATAATCTTAGTCTGAAACTATAGTCATGAACCACAAAATGATAGTTTAGTCAATGATATGCTACATATACAAGATTATATTGAAGCCGGAAAACTAGGGCCTAGTGACTTCATGGCATAGTGCCTACTTACATGGCTGTGGTGGTGATGCTGATGTAAACAAAGCCTGCACAGCCAGTCAGATGAAAGCATAATATATATATACAGTTATCCATGGGCCATCACACTAGAGAGTCATGATGTTACTGGCTTAGTTCCTTATTGTTATACTTTTTGTCTTTATTTTACAGTGTGCTTCTTCTACTTAGAAGAAAGTTGAATCATGATAGCATATGCTTATAACCTTAGCACTTAGGAGGCCGAAGCATGAGGATGCTGAATTCGAGGCTAGTCTGGGTGACTTAGTGAGACTATAGGTCAAACATAAATCAACATCAGGACCAAAGAAACAACACATTTCCTGTAAGTGCGCATGTTGTGCTATCCTGGCTATCCTGGCACTAGCCTCACGTGCTTGTGTTCACTTTGTGTCTCGATTTCATCATTTCTCTTGTGCTTGTCAAATTTCATGTTGTTTTGCTCACTGTGATTCTAAGCACCTCTGAATATATGTATATACATGTCTATACACTGTGTATCCTGGTGTACACTAGCAGCCCATATCACCTAGGCTCTTGGAAGGACACTCTATGATATGCTTCCAATGACAAAATTACCTAATGGCACATTCCTCAGAATTTATCCCAACAGTAGGTGACATACATGACTGTACAAGGGTAAAATACATTTGACGACACTAGCAGTAGTTTATGAAGGTTACTAACACCTTCTTGTCAAAGTATGCTTTAGGTTTACTGATGTGTTACTTACCATGAAATGAGGTTGTGTTAAAATACGCTTTAGTTCCTTTGCGTCATTATTCTCAGGGTAACATGAAATTTCTTCCAATACCTAGAAAAACAAATAAGATACATACATGGTATGAGATTTACAAAGCACGGAACTCCTTTAAATTAAAAACCATGAGTGGATTTTTGTAGTAGGGAAGGCAATTACTTTGGAAACATTTGTTGAGTTCAAAGGTTATTAAAATATTAGAATGGTATTGACAGTAGTAAATGAAACAAATGCAATAATAGTTTGCCTTCAATACCCAGCTATGACCCAAAGGTAATGAAACACTAAAAAACAAAATGGGAAGTTCGTAACACATATTTATTACAGGTTTAAGAAACTTAAGTAGCTTAATGAGAAAATTCAAATTTAGTCCCCAAATCAACTCGTACTGAAAGTTAATAATAGTCTTTAAAACTGAACAGCACTGCTAGTTCATTAAAAGCATGACCAGAGGTTCAATGAAAGCAATATACAAAAGAATGCAAGGTAGAATAATTAATTAAGAATACACTTTCTTCCTTGCAGTCTAGTGGGAGTAATGCTGTTCTCCATGCTTATTTTCCAACATAGAGAAAACCATGCTTCTACCAATGGCTCCCTAGATGAAATTCCAGCGAACCCAACACCAAAATAAAAACTCAAATGCCGTAAGCAGCTCTTCTTCTGCACTCAAGTTTTCCTGACCAATTAGGCGTTACCAGTTTGTTTGGTAAAAACGCTGCTTGCAAGTGAACTGCTCTTAAAAAGTTCTCCCTTTCACCCAGAAATGGAGTCCACCTGTTCACCTTAACACAGGACTAGCAGCCCACAGCAGCACCTCGGCTTTTTGAGCAGGCACCCGTTCCTGCTCTATCTGCACATGGCTGCTTCAGGATTGCCTCAGCACCACTGGGTGTAAGGGGCACACAGCCCATCAACCGGCATGCCTCTTCTGCCCCAACCTGCCAGAACTTCAGGAAGGGGTTCACTTGGCCCGAGTCTCAGATTTCAGCACCCTGCCACTCACACCCATACTGATGCTTCTTTCTCAAATGCCCTGTTGATGATTGATGGCTATGCAGCTATTTCATATTGCTTAATGAAATTAAAGTAGTTCTCTTTGGTGTATTCTCTGTTTCTCTAAACTCTATTTCCCTTGCTACTTTCACGGCCTATGACCTGTGTACAGAGGTGTGATCTCCTAAGCTAGGGGAAATTCTTCTACTGTATAGTTAGGACAAAGGATTTCCCCTGAGTGTCTCTGCTTCTGCGGGCACTGACAAGATTGGGCAGTGACTCATGATTCCTTCCTGATAGTGTATTCCTTTCAAAGAACGAAAGAACACTTGCTGGGCAAATTAAGACAACTTTCTCTTACCCTATTCTCACCAAGTGAGAAGGCCTGCCTGCAGTGATCTAATTTCTCAGTGAGTATGTAAGCATACACTATATATATACACATATAAATCAAAAGTCATGTTCCCATCTGCCAGGAAGCTGGCTGTGGTGGTATACACCTGTCATCCCAACACTGAACTATATGGTGAGATCCTGTCCCAACAAAACAAAACCCAGAACCAAATCTGCTAAGAAAGGGACTATGTCTTCAGTTCTCTTTCATTTACTAACCATACCTTGTAAGAAATATTTTTAAGGAAATATTTCTTTGCATAAAAACTTTTAAAGACCGAACAGTAAAAAAACAAAACAAAACAAAGTATTCACCAATGGGGAAATTTCTACATCATTCCAGTAATAAGAAAAAATTACACAGTGCTATAATCATAAAGATCAAATAGAGGTACAAAATGCTTATTACATAATATTTGGCCCAAACCAATATATTTTGATTGATAATGCATCAAATTCTACATGCAAATGAAAAAGATACAAAAATGGAAATGGGATTCTGGGTGAATTTTGTTTTCCAAGCTTTTTGCAAAGCCACGTTTCCACAAGAGGCAAGTATGAAAAAGCCTGGGGCAAACTTTAATGTGTTGATCATTGATGATGCATAAAAATGACTTCTATGAGTTCAGTCTGTTTAATTGTTATACAAAAGTCAATTAACACACAGTACCATATTAAAAAAGCAACTCAGATTTTAAGGCATGTCTATTTCTACCAGTTGCAGTAAAAATAACAATAAAAAAGGAAAGACTATATTAATATGTTCATTTACACAGCAAAACCCAGAGGTCTGGGAACTACTGTTGCTGAGGCTTTTTTCTTCCCTACATGGATGTTCAACGATAAATTTAGCAGTTGGAATCCGAGTATGAGTCAAACTGCCATCCTAAAGAGTGTGCCTCTTAACACACAGCACAAACATCTTCAGTGAAGGTAGCAAATGAGACGGTGCTACATGCTTCCAGAACAACATGTCACTTACCTCTTTGGCTCTCTGTACTGCATCGCTTGGAGGATTCCTGATTTGTGGTGAAGACTTTGTGTTAATTTTGTCGTACAGCTAAAAAGCAAAGGAGAAAATCCAATCAATACTCATCAGGTTTTGCTCCAGTTTACGTTTTTCTGTTCGTTATTTCAACAAACAATATTTCCCTCTTAAGAAGTCAGGGAGATGAGGTCAGTGGGTCTTCTTTACAATTGTTCATCATTCAAGGGAACTTGTCAGAGTCTGACCTTCATGCATATCTTTTAAAGTAAATACTTTTAAAGAGAGGAAGTAAAATTCTATCCTTAGCAATTAATATTTGTCAATATAGCAGCAATCCCAGTGTTTTTCTCCAGACAGAAGCAACATCCACTGATGTGACTGGAGTAAAATGAAAGAATGCTTTCTGGCCAAGAAGAGTCTAAAAGAATTTTCAGAAACCTAGATCTTGGGAAAGGGCAAAGCCAACTCCTTCTAGGAAGGAGTGTTCTCACAGAGGTTTTTCTTGTCTTACTAAGGACACGGGTGTTCATCATCAGAATCAGGGCTGGAGCCTTCAGCAGGGAGCCAAGACAGAACCCTGTGTCTTTTGCCTTTGCAAATTCAGAGTGTGAAAAAGAGCTAAATAAATTTATATCCCCTATACAAACATGAACGATTTAAGCACCAACTTGCTAAAGAACACTACTTTAATTTATCAGAGAAAATACTGTGCAGTTGAGAAGTGTAATCAAAATGCTAGTCTAGTTCTAGCTCAAATGGACTGTCAATAGTGGACTTTAAAAACTACAAGTTAAAAGTGACCTTGGTTAGTCCGACGACTTCTATTTCCTAACTTCTCTAAAATAGCCTGAAATTTGGGGGTTGTTTGTCCCTTCCCCCCATTTTTCTCTGCACACCAATTCTAGTCTAGAGGTGAAATACTGACTTTAAACATTCTTTAGATTATAGATAGATGCCAGAAAAATCTTTATGACTTGTAAATTTTTAGGCCATACCACATGTTAAAAATTCCTAATGAAGCATTAAAAAATGATCAAAAAGTGAAAATAGAGGAGGGGCCATTTATATGATATCATTAATTAAGAAAGTACTATTGAATTGAAGACTGAAGTTTAAGCAGAAAAGTAAAATGTTACTCTACTTAAAACATTTTAGGGCACTAGTGGTATGTTGTTTGGCCAAATCCTTGGGAGGATATGTGTGGATGTCTTCTTAAGGTTTACATCTCTAGTGATTGCCAAGTAAAATTTGGAATGAAAAATGTACTTTTAATAGAAATGTATCTAGGTAGGGTCTCATTATGTAGCCCTGGATGGCTTGGAACTCACCATACAGACCAGGCTGGCCTCTTACTTGTAGATATGCCCTTTTTTTTTTTTAACTCAGAGAGTTCTGTCTGCCTCTATCCCCCAGTATTAGGATTAAAGGTGTGTAAAACAATGCCCAGCTTACAGAAATAATGTAGTGATTAGCTTTCCAGACTAACTTATGAAAAGAAATGAAATAATTCATATATAAAATATTAAGAAAACCTCAAGCAAAGTGAATGTCACCCACTTCAAAAAGCTAAAACAAAAAGAAACCATCAGTCAGAAATATTTAAATATATTATAATTATAAGATGAATAAATCCTATAACATTGTGTCTGTAGTTAACACAAATTTTTTTATTGATAGTAAACACCATGTTGTGTTCTTAGCAAAATAAAACAATGGTTAACACTTAAAAAAAGACAGTGGGCCTGAGAGATGGCTCATTATATAAAGGCATCTTCAGGTAGGCATGTCAATACGAACTAAAAGGGATGTCTTATCAGATCTCTCTTCTCAGGGCTTGGAGAACCCTGTGGAAGAGGAGGCGGAAAGAGCATAAGAACCAGCAGATGTTGGAGGACAGCAAGAAAATAAGACCTTATAAATCAACAGGGTCAATGCATATATGAACTCACAGAGACCGAGGTAGCATGCACAAGGTTTGCGTGGGTCTGTACCAGATGGGGTCCTAGAGCTGAAAGGAGGAGTGGACACATGTCCCCATTCGTAAGCCATCTCCCATTGATAACCACTTGCAAATGAAAATTGAGTTTAACCCAAGGGATTCTTACTGGGAAAACAAACTATTCTTAAGGGTGGGCTGCATGACCAGCAGGAGATGGCCAACAGAAAGCAAACTCAGTGGTATCTTTGAAGGTTCCTTGTCTCATAATGTTGTGTCAGGACCTTTTTTTAAAATTTATCTTATTTTTTTATTTTATTTATTTATTTATTTATTTATTTATTTATTTATTTTTTGGTTTTTCGAGACAGGGTTTCTCTGTATTGTTTTGGAGGCTATCGGTCCAGCCCAGCCTCGAACTCACAGAGATCCGCCTGCCTCTGCCTCCCGAGTGCTGGGATTAAAGGCGTGCGCCACCACCGCCCGGCTTATCTTATTTTTTTAAAATTATACAAACACATTTGTTGCTGTTTTTCTTCTTCCCCTCCTTTCTTCTCTTTCACCCTGCAGTTCCTGTAACATTAGCACTTCAGTCTAGTGTTTTTGTAGGACTCCCGAGTGTGCAAACTAATGGGTCCTGTTTCGTGTGCCATCTCTTGGACTCTTTTCCTTCTGTTGGTTTGTTTTGTCCTGTTCTTATGTGTTAGTTTTGTTTTATTATTATCCCTTAGAAGCCTGTTTGTTTTCTAATGAGAGGCAGAAAGGGGGTGGATCTGGATGGGAAGGGAGGAACTGGGCAGGATAAAGGGAAGGGGACTTTTATGAATATATTATGTGAGGAAAAACATCTATTTTCAATAAAAGGAAAAAAATCACAAATTTAAAATGTTTCAAAATCAGAAATGCTCCAACATCTGAAATACCTTAAAAATACTGAATTACAAGTGGAAAGTTCCACATTTTAACTCACACAAGGGCTTGTAGTCAAATTCCAGGCACACTAAAGATGTTTCATAAAATTATTTTCAGGCTGTGTGTACATGATATGTTTGAATTATAATTGAAATTTATGTTTAGTCTTTGGTCCTAAATCCAAATTATCATTGTACGCAAATATTTAAAACTAAAAAAACCCTCAAATATAAAACACTTCAATCCTCCAGCAATTCAGATAACAGATGCTCAATCTGCATTACCAGGAACAATGACAACTGCTTCTTTTATTGAGCATTTACTAGATGCTAACTGCTAGTCAGAGACCTTAATGTAAATGTACTCATCTAACCTCAGCTAATTGTGCAAGGCTGGTGCCTCTGTACAGATGAGGAAAACAGACAACAGTGAGGTAAGAGCCACAGTTCTAGCTTTAGGATGACTTCATGGGTGGCGTGCAGGTATCTGGAGTGTCATCACTTTCATGGCTATATTGTAAGGAAGGTGGTCAGATAAAACTCCTCTGTGCCTGTGGTATGGCCTGATGCACACACACACACATACACACATCTAGAATTCCAAACTAAGGCCAACAGGAAGTCTGTGGCACCAAGTCTACTAGGAAGCTGCCAGTGCTGGTGTAGGGCTCGCGTAGCAGTCAGCATTGCCTCTGCACTTGGCCTAGGTAAGTCTTACTCTACCTACAGAGGCACACGCATGACATGTGTAGGAGTCACAGGCTTGAGGAGAGAACATATTTGATTTTCTCTTCCCCTGCTTCTTGAGACAGGAAGGAGAGGGAACTGTTTTTTTCCCCATGTAAAGTGAAGGGTACAGGGAGCGTCCAGAAAAGCCTGCACAGGAATTGGAAGTGGCAGACAGGAGAGCTCCTTGCATTGGTCTCGGGCCAGGGCTTTGCTGAGTTGCAGCAACTGACTGGCCCACATTGGCGCAATGGGGTAGCCTTGTTAAGGGGATCCTCGGGAGGCTCAACATGTGATATTTTAGGTCTTAAGTGAAAAGTGACTAGTGTCTGTAACCTCCAGTACATAAGGTAAGAATGTGTGCTTTCTATGAGTCAAATAAAGACCCAAGAGGGTAACCTGCCCAAGGCCATTCTGATGGAGTCCTGTCCAAGAGGATTGCCCACACAGAGCAGGAAGACCCAGAAATAGGGGCTATGGGTAATATCACAGGGCAGGATGAGAGTGTGCTTCTGAGGCTAGCAGCAGGCTGTGCCAACAATGCTAAAGCTGCACATTTGCACCTCAGGACAGCAGCAACTCTGGGAAGCCTGCCACATCAAGGGCATCAACAAGCAAAAAGGAAGTGGCTGTCTGATGTTCGTGATTATAGATCATGCTGTGTAAGGGTTTCTTTTTCTTCTCCTTGACCCCGGAGTTCTACAGTACAAGATAACAGGACACGGTGTACGTTGCACAATTATTTCCTCAAAAATTAAAAATTTGAACTTGTACATAGAAATTAGTAAAAAATGTAGAGCACCACAAAAATAAGCACAGCAGAAATACTTATTTTAGCTGTTTTTTAAGGAACCAGATACAATTTTTATTTGCTCCTGCTTACACACAAAATTAAACACATCTTGGCCATATTTCTTTCTTTCTTGGATCTTTTAAGTCTGCCTTACTTAACAAGATAGAGAAGACGTTAGATATCAATAAATTCTGTTCCTTCATTTTGAAGAAGATTCTAGAGTTTGGGTAAATGCCACCCAAACACACATGTATTAAAAGTCTTGTTTTCCAGCTGTGTCACCAGTGGAGGTGGTAGAACCTTTAAGAAGTGGGGCCTAGTAGAAGGATGTTAGGTCATCGGGGCTGTACCTTTGAAGTAGATACCGGTATTCCATTCCCTTCTCTTTACTTCTTGCATGTCATGAGACAGGAAGCCTCTTCTGCAATGATGTATTGCCTACCCACAGGCCCAAAAGCAATGGGGAAAACTGACCTGAAACCTCTAAGACTGTGAGCCAAAATACACATTTGTTCCTTTTTTAAAGGTGATTATCGAGGGATTCTGTCATAGCAACTAGAAGCTGACCAACGCAGAAGTGAAAATTAATGTCTACTCAGGTGAAATGCTGCACTTATGGTTACACAACCAGAGCAGCAGGGAATGATAACATGGCCTTTTGTCTCACACCAGATCTCTTGGGATTATACTAGAATTTAGTAATACA